ACGGTTTCACAGTATTACGGTATTGTAAATACTGCTCTAAAATATGTCTTCTTTTTAAATGTCTGGGTAAAAAACTAAAACTTTTTTCCCCTTTGAAAACAATATATTTTATTTTTTTGAAATATTTAAAATATTTTGGAGCAGTAAACATTCATTTATTCATTTATTTTCTTTTCGGCTTAATCCCTTTATTAATCCGGGGTCGACACACCAAAATGAACTGCCAACTTATCCAGCATGTTTTTTACACAGCGTATGCCCTTCCAGCCGCAACCCATCTCTGGGAAAGCAGTAAACATGTCAGGCTAAATAATTCAAATAAATCGTTGACTTCTGCTGTCTTCGTTTGTTTCAAAAACACAGATTTATTTACAACTTAAAATGATATTCTTGGAGATCTTTTCTGCTGGAGATCCTGTTGTCAAAAAACAAACAAAAAAAGGAAAATAATGTAAATATTAAATCTTACACATACCTTAAGAATGGTATCACAGAAAATTGTGTTAGTTTTAAAACCTTGACTTTTCCAAACCGCGGTATACTTTGAAAACGGTTATCGACCCATGCCTAAAATTGACTATGCCCTTTCGAACATGTCCCAAGACGACCCATGTCCAGTGAAAACCTGACATCTGTCAGCCTTGTTTAAAATGAAGCAAGTATTTAAAAAATGAAAAATGTTTTGTCGCCTCTGTGATCCGATCTGGCAAAATTAGTCAGAAGTTGCATCATTCAATTATAAAATACAGGCCGAAAATGTGAAAAACAAACAACGAAATTTTTTTTTTCTTTTTGTAGCTAATTTCACAGAACAGAAAATATTCTCACAAGGTTTCGTAGTCCAGATCATTGTGTAAAGGTATTTAAATGACTATTAAAGTTGACTTGGTGTTAAACATTGCATAAAACCCAATCAAAAAGCTTAAAAAATGTACACAAACAGTAAAATAAAATTTTTTTTTAGCTTTAGTCTGGTTTAATAGCATTTGTATATACAGTTAAAGTCTAAATTATTAGCTCCCTTCAATTTTTTTTCTACTTTTTTAAATGTTTCCAAATAAGGTTTAACAGAGCAAGGACATTTTCACAGTATGTCTGATAATATTTTTTCTTCTGGAGAAAGGCTTATTGTTTTATTTCGGCTAGAATAAAATTAGTTTTTATTTTTTTAACACCATTTTAGGGACAAAATTATTAGCTTCTTTAAGCTATTTTTTTTTCTTGATAATCTACAGAACAAACCATCGTTACAATAACTTGCCTATATTGCCCTAACCTGCCTACACTATTAACCCTTACTGTAGATTATGCAGTAAATAACTGTAAAATAGTCAGTGTTTAGCTGTAATGAAAAGAAACAGTATTTTACAGTAAAAGGAGCAGGATTTGTATGAAATTCTGTAGTGCAAAGAATAAATTACAGTAATTTACTCTATGTACCATTACAGATATTTACTGTGATAATAAATGGTAAATTACTGTTCAACCATTACTGCCCCATCTATTCTGATGCTTTAAGTTGCTATTTTATATTTATTTTATTTCTGTGTTTTCTTTGGTTCCTTTTATGTTTTTAACATTGAGTATCAGGAGTCAACCAATGCCACAGAGCTTATTAAAAGGTAAGTGTAAGATATGGACGAAATGCATTTAAAGGCAAAAATATTCACACAGAGCAAAGAAATTGTCACAATAATTTTTACAACTTTGTTTACTTTTTCTATAATTAATCTAATTTAATTGCCTAGTTTGACCTATAGTTAAGATTTTAAATTGCACTTTCAACTGAATATTAGTATTTTGCTAAATAACTAGTAAAAATGTGTTATTAAAAAAATATATATATCTTAAACAACACGCACATACATTTTTGCAGAGACTCAATGAATTTGTCTGGAAAACTGGCAAGTAAAAGTGCCATTAACAGTATAAAGGCTTTCCTAAATAAATGTATAAATCATGATATTTGTTGTGTTTTTTATTATTTTTACTACAGATTTGGAACGACATGAGAATCAGATTATTTATTTATTTATTTTTTTCTATGGATGAAGTTTATATCATAGTATATTTTTATTGTTTTTATTAAACGATATGTGCATAACTGTGATAAATGTAGGCAGTTGCTTTGAAATATGCTATGTACCAGGGGTGTCAAACTCCTGGAAGGCCACAGCCTATAGAATTTAGTTCCTGCCCTGCTTCAACACACTACCTTTAGATTTAGTTTGATCAGGTGTGTTTAATTAGTATAACTGCACTGTTACTCTGTAGATTGTGCAGTAAATAACTGCAAAAAAACAATGATTTAGGCATCACCACACACTGCCACAGGCTGTCCGTCTTATTCTAAACACAAAGGTGTTAGAAAGAGTTTTCAGAAAATGCTGGCCCTTTAAGAGAGCCAGGTGTTTGATTTGTTTACTGCTGAGTGTGCTCTATTCTCTGTCCATCAATTCAGATGTTGAGTCTGATGTTTTAGGCTTTAAATAAGAATCTTAAATGAGTAAGTAAAATGTGTTCAAATGTTTTTGAGGGTTTATAAAATAAGGCTGTGTTTTAAGTTATATTGTTGTTATCTTGAACTGTGTACTTGAAAGCTACATTGATAGCTAGTTAGCCTCTCCTCATATAACTTCTTACATTACTTTTGTTTAAGTATATGTATTTATTGGATATTGCATACTGCCATAATGTACAGATGCTAACAGTTGTATGTATCTTTCTGGCAACTAAGCCAAAATTAAATTCCATCATCTCAGTAAGGTAACATATGCACATCATCACAGGCAATAACAAAAACATGATACACATAGCCATACACACATAAAAGCTCCCCTGTCCGGTCCCAGGTTGTGAGTTTGTTGCTAAATATTTTTCAGAGCTGTGTTTCCATCTATGAATTTATATTTGAAACAATAAAAAAGTTTGTTGTCATGAGATAATTATAACAATAAAAGATTCAATCCTTTGGTTTTTCGGTGTTGCCAACTTCATTTTTGTTTTCTATAATTATTTAAAACTTTTTGAGATTTGACAGAGCTTTTAATTATTTAAAACTTTAAAATTTAAAATAATTATTTTGTTTTTTGCTGTTCAGTTTTTTTTTGCATGGTCAGCATTGAGGAGAGAGTAACACATTTCACTGCAGCACTTTGGGTGTGTGTTTGTGTGTTTATTGGATATGGGATTGTGATAAATGTTAGCAGTTGCTTTAAAAGTATGCTATATACCAGGCGTGCTTAATCCTGTTCCTGGAGATCTACCTTCCTGCAGATTTCAGTTGCTATCCATATCAAACACACCTAAACCAATTAATTAGGACTTGAACACCACGTGATAATTACAGGCAGGTGTGTTTGATATGGGTAGCAACTGAAATCTGCAGGAACGTAGATCTCCAGGAACAGGATTAAGCACCCCTGCTATATACCATGGGGGTCAAACTCCAAGTTCCTGGAGAACTGCAGGGCAGCAGAGTTTAGTTCCCACCCTTCTTCAACATTACCTGTAGATTTCTAACATGCCTTAATTAGTTTTATCAGGTGTGTTTAATTAGAGTTACAGCTTAAAGTCCCAGTCACACTGCACTTTTCTCCCTTTAGACTTCCATTCATACGCATGTGAATGCTGCAGACCTGGAATGCATGCTCATGCGACAAATTTTACAGTTTGCAGCATTGGAAAGTTCAAGCTTGGAGAACTCTGAACTGCATCATGTGATTGCTTGAGACTAATCAAAGATCAAACCATGACATCTCTGAACAAAAAATATGGACCGGTTGTTTGCTTTTTCAATCTCTAAATATTTTGTTTAATCCCACTCCTTTTCGCAGAGCCATATGACAGAATTTTGCATGCTTAAACGTTAGTTTGACTGCAGCCTTGCTGTGCAGACCTGGGGCTCTCAGTAAAATGTAAGATGATATATCTGCTGATTTCTTAATTTTGTTATACATTTTCTGTTTTATATTTGTTTGCTGCCAAAACAATAAAATAAATTTGTCAATTTACAACCTAATTAATTTAAAGAATTCATAACTGATAAGAATACTAATTAATTTTAGTAATACCTTGACATACTACTGTGTATGCAGTATAATGCTGTGAGTTGTAACACTACAGTACAGTAATTAACTGTACACAGTTTCCAGTTAGTTACCACTACTGCTCTATTACAGTGATTAACTGGCAACACTGTTGCCAGCTACTCACTGCAATGGTTCAGTTACAGTAAACAACTGGCAACACTGTTGCCAGCCACTCACTGTAATGGTTCAGTTTCAGTAATTAACTGGCAACACTGTTGCCAGTTACTTACTGTAACCAAACTTTTACAGTGAGTAGCTGGCAACAGTGTTGCCAGTGTTCTTCTGTAAAAAAGCCAGGTAAGGTCTAACAGTGTAGTTAACCTAATTAACCTAGTTAAGCTGTATAGAAGTGTCTTGAAAAATATCTGTAAATATTAATGATTGTCATCATGGCAAAGATAAAATAAATCCATGATTAGAAATTAGTTATTAAAAGTATTATGTTTAGAAATGTGCGGCCTGATAATTCAGGGAGGCTAATAAATCTGACTTCAACTGTATATACAAATGTGCAAATTAAGTTGTAAAACAAATAGTTTATGCCTCTAAATCCAATTGATTTTGAAGGATATCATCAAAAAAAAAAACAGGCATAAGACTAATTATCATGTTCATCTAAGGTTTTCAATTGGAAAAATAGAGCAGACAACCATAATTCAAACGGACATATCTTCAAAATGGCTATGGTTTTCAGTTTTCTTCAAAATATTTTATTTTGTGTTCTGTTTAACAGTAGAGAAACCAAAAACGGTTTGCTGTCACTCGAGATAAATAGGGGAGTAAATACTCATTTTTTTGTGTGATTTAACTCTTTTACGGTCACCGTCAGGCGCGTTTTGACTTTCACCACAAGATGTCAGCATTTATTTCCAAAACATCAATAATTCACAGCCTAACAGAAAGTGTTCACACACATACAGTACACGCTTTCTAAAATCATGGACGAGATATTACGAATTCTACTGGGCTGAAGGTTAGCCAATGAATATTTCAAATCTCACGAAGACACCCTCATGAATATTACTCAGCGCTACACTGCTTGCTAGCATTCCAACGGCGAACGCTTGTCTTATGAATATTAATAGACAAGCCCTCTCCATAGTAGACTCATAAATTCACGACAAGGGATCGTTTGCGCCAACGGGGGCAGGTGGGATATTTATCATCATGCTGGAAACCCAGACTTTGCGTCCTCCTAGCACACCTCAGACGGCTTCTGAAGCTCCTGCTTTCCTATGAAACAAAGCCTGGGATTATATTTAGCCTAAATGATGCTGAATCCTCTGCGGAGGAAAACCTCTGTATTTGCCTTTGGAGATTGTGGGGACCGCCGTCATCTTTCATTGAGAAAACCTTCAGAAATCAGTGCAGTCACTTCAGCATGTTTTGAGCAAATAAAGGTTCGGACGACATTTCCATATTATAACAATGCTGGAGAAGTGTAAATACAATCTGGTTGATGACTCAATGGATCAGAGGATTCCTGCTGATAATGAAGGGCAGTTCCAGCATGGGCTCACATTCGAGGTGAAGGTAAACAGAAACATAAATTCTTCTGTTCATTAAACGTTCAAGCTTTACATTTGAGCTAACATGTAATTACCTTATGAGTACTGAGTGTGCAACTACTGAATTAATATGTAATTATCATGTGGAAGGGATTGTTATAACACATTGGCATATGGCAATTCATATATTAATATGTATTATCTGTAATATAAGGTCTATCATTTAGTGACAACTAGTTGAACCTGTTGCACTGGCATGGATGCAATTTATTGGATATTATTATTTATTTATGTATTTTTGACACAGTTTATTATATGTTATTTTTTCAACCTTTTCCGTCACAGTTCATTGGGAGCCTGGATATTGTGCGACCCAAAAGCAGGATTGAAATATTGGCTGCCATGAGACGTATACGGGTAAGGGTTTATAATTTTGACAAATGGAATGGATGCAGACAGAAGATCTGAATGACGTGTCAATAGCAAATGACTTATATACAAGTTTTACAAATACTAAATTGGTAATTACTGGTCAATTTACGAACATTTTAAACATGCGTTGTGATGATATTAATTAATAAATTTTACAACCACCTGGCCATGTATATTATTATCGGTATTGCTTTTACTATGACCCTAGACGTGGATAAATATTGCTAGTAAAAATAATATTTATTATTATCATTCAATCATTCATTCATTTTCTTTTCGACTTAGTCCCTTTATTAATGAGGGGTCGCAACAGCGGAATGAAGCGCCAACTTATCCACCAAATGTTTTACGCAGCGGATGCCCTTCCAGCTGCAACCCATGACTGGGAAACACCCATACACGCTTATTCACACACATACACTGTGGACAATTTAGCTTACCCCATTCACCTACCTGTATAGCACATTTCTTTGGACTTGTGGGAGAAACCGGAGCACCTGGAGGAAACCCATGCGAACACGGGGGAGAACATGCAAACTCCACACCGAAATCCCAACTGACCCAGTTAAGGCTCGAACCAGTGACCTTTTTGCTGCGAGGCGATCGTGCTACCCACTGTGCCACCGTGACGCCCTATTATTATTATATTTTATCATTATTATTATTGAGCTTTAACCAAGCAAACCGTTCCCATGCTTAATGTCACAAATGTATTTTGATTGGTGACCTAGAAGTTTGCAGCCTCAAAAGTTTATTTATTTATTTGTTTTTACATTATAGCACTTCTTTGCCGCCAGCTAGCTCTCTGCAACTCTCACATGGTCGCCCACTGAAGCTAAGCAGGGCTGCGCCCGGTCAGTACCTGAATGGGAGACCACATGGGAAAGCTAGGTTGCTGCTGGATGTGGTGTTAGTGATGTGGCCCCAGCAGGGGGCGCCCAACTTGCGGTCTGTGTGGGTCCTAATGCCCCAGTATAGTGACGGGGACGCTATACTGCTCTGTGAGCGCCGTCTTTTGGATGAGACGTTAAACTGAGGTCCAGACTCTCTGTGGTCGTTAAAAATCCCAGAATGTTCTTCGAAAAAGAGTCGGGGTTTAACCCCGGTATCCTGCCAAATCTGCCCACTGTTCTCTGTCCATCATGGCCTCCTAACCATCCCCATATTCCAATTGGCTTCATCACTGTCTCCTCTCCACCAATCAGCTGGTGTGTGGTGTGCGGTCTGGCGCAAAATGGCTGCCGTCGCATCATCCAGGTGGATGCTGCACACTGGTGGTGGATAAGGAGATCCCCCCCCCACCCCCCACATTGTGTGTAAAGCTCTTTGAGTGCCCAGAAAAGCGTTATATAAATGTAAGGAATTATTATTATTATTATTATTATTATTACCATGTAGCCATCTCAGATGGTTTTTCAAAACTTTGGACTCTGAAATGATGAAAAATGTTCATCAATTTTGTTAGTTTAAGGTGCATCAATTCATGTGGTGTGAGTTGTTTACTGTAATAGTATGTAAGCAGAGTAAACAGTGTTCATGTTTCCTCTGCTCAGAGCTTTAGTGCAGCTGTATTTATGGCTCTGAGATTGCTCCAGTGTGCTGGCATCAGCAGCACAGTGTAGTTTAATCAACCTTTCTCCATGAAAGAGAATATTTCCGTGCAATGTTTAGACATGTTTGCGCAAGAATTCTCATTAGGGAACATAAAGTGAGTAGTTTTTTTGCTTCAGTTTTTATTTTTTTATCAGATATCAGCATCTATTTGATGTATTTTGAGGAGAACTGAGAGTAACTGGAGCTTGACTTGCTAGTGGTCCATATTATCCAAAGCTTCATATGAAAGGGACTTCTTTAAACCCATCCATACTTTAGTATGCTAAGTGCATTCCCTTTATGCCCACCCCAGTGAATATCCTGTTTATTTCCTAGGCTTTAATTACCCATGCAGTCTGCATCGAACAGAGCTAGGACATTTTCCTGATTGCTCCCAGAAGTAATATCATCTTTATTGGTGGATGATATTTTTGAATCTCATCAGTGCAATATGCTAAAATCGCCCATAATGTAGTCTTCAGATATGTTATTCAGACGAAAATGCTGTCAAAATGATTTTTTGTAGCCAGTCTAAGAAATGTTAGTTTGTTAAGCATCAAATGCACCTACACACACAATGCCATGATTGTCCATACCTCTTGTTTTGGTTGTCAAGTACTCCTTCATGCTTATACACTGATCGCGACTATGCTTATGCATTATTTTCAGAGAATCACCTTTTTGATTTACAAAGCGATGATAAGTGTTGTGCTAGTTACTGAAAAATAGTACCTTAGAGTTACTATTACTTCAATCAAAAAGTAACTGAATTACTTTGATTACTCACACAAACAAGTAATCCGTTACTGTTAAATGTAATTTTTGAGTTGCTTTTCCAAAGAACATTTTTAACCCTTGAACTGCCGCTCTACCAAACAATTGACCATAGTTTACTGTTTTACATAATGACGTTTAAAGTCATTTAAAGAATGGCTGTTTTAAATAATGGCTTACACACATATCATTGTTGGTTTACAAAAAAAAATATGATCAAACAAACATTCTGTTGCACTACTACACTTGATTTTGATTTTATTATAAAAAATAAAACCCAACAAAACATATTAAATGAGAGTCTGAAATATTTGTTGGCATACTTCAAAAGAAAAAGGTGATTTTGTCAAGATTCTGGACGGATGAGGGGGCGAGGACTCAAATGCAACAGAAGATGGCTTATTATTAATTAAAATAAAACAAAAAGGACAACAAAAACCACCCCAAGGGGGAAAAACATAACTATGACACAAACAAACTTGGCTGGGCTGGCGAGACAAGATTGGAGCAGGAACACAGGGGGAGTATAGACGACAAACTCGGACAGGACAGCAGACATGAGGAGAATATAAGCAGAAGTAAATTAACACAATCAGATGGACATAATTAACTAATAATGGGTTTACAAGGTGGGTGGGACTAGACAATAGAGAGCAGAGCACATGACACAGAGACAACACAAGCCATGTGCTCACATAAAACAGGACAAGAACACGCAGCCAATGAGAGAACTCATTAACCAAACAATGACACAAGCACACGATAGATGAACACCTTACAGTGCGCTCACACATATGCAACGCGCATGTTTCATCTCAGCGTCAACCAAAACCGAAAGCAACTAGACGAAGACGCTGAGTATGAAACAGACAGAACAAAACACAAACACTAGTACAAGAGCGCGCACGTCCGAGGCACACAGAGCCCACGCGGCCACATTAAGCGGGAGCGCGCATGCTCTGCCAAGACAGAGATTCACACGACCAGAGTGGCAGAACCCTGACACCGTTAATGTATTTAGGTGGATTTGTGTAAACAACTGCGAGCAGATTCATGGTTTTCAAAAATGCAGCCCTCCAACGAGCCTCTTTTGGTAAATTAATTATATGTAACTGATGCTAAAGGTCGGGGATTTTAGCCTCTTTGTTAACAGTGGGTAGGGGGGTTCAATTGGTGCCGTGACCCAAACGAGAGTGAGTTTGAGGTGGAAAAGTGTAATGGAGGCCAGCTGGTAAACCACACTCCCCTGATCTCAAGAGTTGCTCTAGCAACACATGATAGAGGCGTTAGTGGTACTCAGTTACACATACAATGTTTCAGGTTTTAGTTGCATATTTAGAATTGTGAAGCATATCATGAAGTATGAATCAATAAGCAACTCACTTATATCAAACATAGTGTTGGCGGGACGGTGGCGCAGTGGGTAGCACAATCGCCTCACAGTAAGGTGTCAGTTGGCATTTCTGTGTGGAGTTTGCATGTTCTCCGCATGTTTGCTTGGGTTTCCTCCGGTTCCCTCCAGTTCAAAGACATGCGGTACAGGTGAATTGAATAAGCTAAATTGTCCGTAGCGTATGAGTGTGTATGGGTGTTTCCCAGTTATGGGTTGCAGCTGGAAGGGCATTTGCTGTGTAAGACATGTGTTGGATTAGTTGGTGGTACATACAAAATGAATGAATGAGTACATACTGTTGGTACTGTACAGCAGATGGATGTATATTGTTAAAGATTGTAACGTGCTTTTCAATAAGCCTCAGTTAACGATTGAAAAAAAAATTACTTATTTTTGCTGTGTTTGTTTTGAAAACAATCTTCAGATAATGAATCATTTATCTTTCAGTGTTTCTTTGTATTTAAATTATTTGAAAACTTGTAAATGACTTACACCGCACAAGGTGGTACAGTAAACATGATAAGGCTCATGTCATGATTCATGGATCCGTTAACTGTTTTTGTTTGTTTTTTATAGTATGAGTTTAAAATCAAGAACATCAAGAAGAAGAAAGTCAGCCTCATCGTGTCAGTGGATGGTGTCAAGGTTGTTTTACGGAAAAAGAAAAAGGTGGTGTGTTTCAAATTTTCTTTCTAGTATTGTTATAATGAAAATATATTCTGATGTTAAATATGTACAGCGTTTAAGGGATAGTTCACCCCAAAATGAACATTTTCTCATGATATACTCAGCCTTAAGTGTTTTTTTTCTGTCGAATACAAAAGAAGATATTTTGAAGAATGCTGAATCTAAATTTACAATATTTATTTTGCTATCTCACATTGTTGTTCTTAAAGTGAATAACTGATCAGTGCAAGTTAATTCCCTGAATTTTTTTCGTTTTGGTAACCTTCAATCAAAGTCTGACCATCTGCTTCTGCGTTTGGAGTGGCGGTCCTTTGGTTGTCGTGAGGGCTTCTATAGCAACTGTATATCAATAACCTCAACCACGCCCCTCTTACTGTTAGTTTGTTATGAGTGAATGATATGCAGAAGAAAGCCCCGTCAGCTTCTCAATATTTGTTTCAGTTGCAAGTACATTGTAGGGGTATTTTACAGTTTGAACCCAAATAATGACCAGTCTCTTAGATGAAGAAGAGCTGGAGTCAGAGATTCAAATAAATAAAGTTTAATGAAGATAGTTTGCAGTCCACAGCAGAAGCCAGCTTCAACACTCGCAATGATTTCTTAGTGCGTTTTGCTTACAATCAGAAAATCAACAACAATTATACCATCTGAGACCAGAAAAGGTGTGATTCCGGTAAACTGTTACGATTGGTCATGGCAAAGATAGACAATTCTAAATATGTACGTCAATGCGGGGTCATATCTGAGTCCAGAAAGGGATGGCAACAGGAGGCTTGGGTCAGGTCGCCCGTATACAATTAAGACCTGGGGCCTCATGTATCAACGCTGCGTACGCACAAAAACTTTGCGTACGCCAGGTTTCACGCTCAGAATCGCTCACGTTTGGATTTACTAACAATGAACTGAACGTGGGAATGTGCGCAGGTTCACGGCAGCTTTCTGGCAGGCGTACGCACATTTTTTGTGCGTGTCTGTTTTATTTCCATTGGCGACTCCTAGAGGCCGTTGTGTTAAATTCCTCTCTACAAAGTGTCTGAGCCTTGCAATGGCAGCTGTATGAGACCGGTTCATATAGTAGGTATGTAAGATTTCCATACCATACAGTTGACCAGCTAAACATTAAAGCACAATTTGCAGCGGTCGCCTGTTTTCCCAATGTAATCTGAGCGATTTACCGCACGCACATTGCTATAAAGAAGATGAATTTGCATGCGTGAATCAGAAACATTTCCATTCAATAAATGTGCAAATAAAATATGATGCACAAACTTATTGATGATTCCTACTTGTCTTTCTCTTGATAAATAGTGGGCAAAATCTGATATGTAGCGGGGAAAAAAATAAAGAATTCATTAAACGCTGGATTCGAGCCGAGATTATGCTCGAACATGTCAGAACGTGATCACATGCTTCTTATGAGGTGCGCCACTGAGACTGTTAAGGGTACTGCTACATTTTTCAGTTATAAACCACACTATTTCTTTTTTAAATGCACTCAGTGCGATGTTCAGACCCAACTGTGTTGACTGCATCAGCTAAACTCTCCCACTATATTTTTTTCTTTTGTTGTTAATTCCGGAAAACAAACTTGCAAATAACACCTCTTTTCTCCGGTCTACCTCCGAAAGCAGCACCTCCAATTCACATTCTGTTCAAAGTTTCTCTTTTTGCTTGATTTTGCCATTGCTTTTTCGTTGGGTTTTTCCATTAGCATAGTCATTAGCATATTCATACGGGGGAGGAGGCAGGGAGGGGTTTTGTGCTCGTGCATGTTGCGCTCAGTTTCACGTTCATTCAGATGTACAAAAGAATATGCGTGAGATTCGGCGTACGCAGTCTTTCATACATCTGAAATTTTTTCTGCGTACGCACATTTACAGCTTTGTGCGTACGCAATGTTTTAGTAAGATTTTCACGCAAGTCTTCGTACATGAGGCCCCTGGTCTCAGACCTGTAGAACTGACCCATCAGATGCATATAGACAGGCAAGAGACAATCTGTTATAAAAACCCAAGGTTGTTTCTTCGTATTCTCAGCCGCTTTATCAAACAAGTATAAAACTGGGATAAACAGCATTCACAAAGTCTATTTCGTATAAAAAGGAAATCACTTTAAAAGAATCAACCATAAATATAGCAAAATCACACTGGTGTCCTGCATAATTTAGCTCCAATTTGCTTCAGCACACCTGCCAGGAAGTTTCTAGTATACCTAGTGAGGACTTGATTAGCTGGTTTAGGTGTGTTTGTTTAGGGTTTGAGCTAAACTCTCCAGGACACCGGCCCTCCAGGACCGAGTTTAGACACCCCTGCTTTAGACAGTATTAACTCATAGAAATAACAATAGAAACAGTTGTTTCCAGTCATCAGGCTCAGCAGTTCCACTGAAAACGTCTCCATGACCTATGACCTGGTTTCGTGGCTCCTGAAAAATAAAGTTAAAATAGACAGACAAAGAGAGGAACAAGGACACTGAACATTCTTACATTAAGCAGTGTGTTAACTTATTCAATAGTCAAAATCATTTCAAAGGTAAATACTTATTCAAATAATCATATTAATAAAGTAATGAGAACAAGGATAAACGTTGACCCATGCTTGGACGGATTAGAAGGCAGAAATCCAAATCCATCAACATACTGAAATAAAAGTCTCAGCAACGTCCAGTTCATGCAGACTTTAATACTAAGGAAAAACCATAGACTGTAAAATACATGGACGTAGTATCCGTGACGTCACCCATAGGTTTCTAAAGAGCGCAAAAGAAGCAACAAGTAGGCGCGGCCAACCATCGCCATTTTGTTCGCGCATCATCACACCCACGGCGGGATACCAAACAAGGGCAAAGAGGCGGAGGGTGAGCGGAGCTACAGATGACATCCAGCATAACACTGTATGATGATAACGCTTCAGATGACTGTTCTAGAGCCTACAGCTAATCAATCTGTCAGATTCTGGAGTGCATTACAGCTCTAGATATAAATATAAATGATAAATGATCTTAAATAAAACAAACACATGTATAGAGGTGGTATATAAGTATATAACTCTACTCACATGGGAAACGGAGGCCACATGAATGGTTTGTGAGCACAATTAAGTGCACTCAGCATGCCATGCCATCTAATAATTGTAGGAAACAAGTCCAAAAGGCAGTTGACTGTGTAAAGCCACATAAAACATCACAGAAATACGATAAATGTGTCGAGTTCAGTGGCTAATCTGCAGGATTCAGCTGAGGTGACGTGACGGCGACCATTGAGACCTAACTGTCACTCAAGTGGCCACGCCCTTAATTATGCAAACTTAATATAACTTAATATAAAGGAAACAGATGAGTTTTAAAAAAATTCACCCCCCTCACAGTTGTCATGAAGGGTAATATTAGCTGTATTAACCAAAATCTTTTTTTGTACCAGGCTGTAAACACCTTTTTTTCTGCTGTAAAGTTGGCTATTCTAACAGTAGGCTCAATTGAAATTTGCTCTGTTTTGGAGCCAGGAGCGGCCAGGACTAGCGGAATTTCAGATGAATTGCAGTTTTAGTTACTTTTGTATTGGCTTCCTGAGGGAGAGCGGAAGGGTTGCTGCTTGGGAAAAACACAAATACTATAGAAGTAAATGGCTACTCTTCAAAATATCTTGTGTTGTGTTGAGAAAAGGAAAAACTTAAACATGTTTGGAGATAGTAAAGAGTGAGTAAATTACATGTTCAGGTGAACTATCATTTTAACTACCCAAAGTTTAGACAAGTACATATGAGCTCATTTCTTGACTAAAATGTATTTTTCCCTTAGAAATTCGAGTATAGCTGGGACGAAAGTCCGGTGACACTGGCCCAGGACCCTATTTTCAGGTATGATGTTACTTTAATGCATTGATTACAAAACATATTATTTTGTCCATAAGATAATAACTAGTTTTGCTCATGACTGGAGTGATGTGGCCTGTGGGGGGTACAATGACCTTTTACGAGACTCCGTGAGCTGCAATATAAAGCAGAATGTCTTCGAAATCCCCATAGCAACAGCCTGTTTCCAGTGCCACAGGTTGTTTAACACTAACATCATTAATGTTGACTTGGATCAGTCATCTTTAGTTTTACATTTGTGCTGTCAAAATTAGTGCGTTAACGCATGCGATTAATTTGAAATATTTAACGCGTTAAAAAAAATAACGCAATTGCAGGGTTTTTTTTCCTGTTGTGGAGTACAATTGTTTGTATTCAATACTTTATTACTATTATTATTTTCCATTTTCCATATCTGTAATGCCTGAATTTTGGCATTTTTTTGCAGTCCACTTACAATCCAACATGGAAATCAATTTTTTTCTTTATTGGCATTGATTTTTTTTTTTTTATTCAAATGGCATTAACATGCCTGTGTTTTAATTTCTGTAATAAATATGGCTGTCAAGCCAGGATCTTGATGGTTTATTGTGGGTATGTTGTTTACATGAAGAAATCTGTGTTACAAGTTAAACAAAAATTCTAATAAACAATTATATTTTTAATTTAAATAGTTTTTGTCTTGCGTTTACATTAATTTAACATTTGAATAACTAAAATGACAAGCTTCAGTCTTTTGAATGCGATTATTCACGATTAATCGTGATTAATTAGTTAATTTGTTTTAGCGATTGACAGCACTAATTTATAGACGACATCAAAAATGCCAGTTTATACCAACTAGAGACCGTAACAGTATCAAAATATCATATTGTGATAATAGTGACCAAAATGACCATATTATCATGAGCTGAACATGTACTGTACAAAATGAAATATTACACCCTCTTTCGGTTTTGTAACTGAAATATTGACAACAGTTGTTTTAGTTGTTGTTGTTATTTTGTGACAAACAACACAAAAATTGGAGCCATGCATTATGGATTTGTTTACACATATTTAACTTTCTTTAACTGTATATAAAAAATAATTGTTTATAAACTATAAACAGTTGAAATAAGAATTATTAGCCCCCCTTAATTATTAGCCCCCCTGTTTAATATATTTTTACATTTTTTGATTTATGTTATCTTTGTCATGATGACAGTAAATAATATTTTACTAGATATTTTTCAAGGCACTTCTATACAGCTTAGAGTGACATTTAAAGGCTTAACTAGGTTAATTGGGTTAACTAGGCAGGTTAGTATAATTAAGCAAGTTATTATAGAACCATGGTTTGTTCTGTAGACTATCAAAATAAATATACAGCTTAAAGGGGCTAACATTTTTTACCTTAAAATGGGTTTTCAAGAATTAAACACTGCTTTTATTCAAGACGACATAAAACAAATAAGACTTTCTCCAGAAGAAGAAAAAATATTATCAGACATATTGTAAAAATTTCTTGATCTGTTAAACATAATTTGGGTAATGATTAAAAAAATAAAAATAAAGAGGGTTTAATAATTCTGGCTTCAAATGTATTTGTATAAACATGCATTTACTGTGCAGTCTTTAGCAATAAGCTTTTCACAATATTCTAAAAGCTCTCAAAATCATGATAATCAATCACAGTTTTCATGATAATGACAATTAAAAATGAAAATACTAGCCATCTGAAAACTGGTAATTGTGATACATTTCTTTTGTTTTATCTTTACGCTAATGTAATGAAGCATTTATTCATGCATTTTCAAAACCTAGTGAGCACATTTAATGTATTCCTGTAATGCTTCATGACATGACAAAGGGACAAGTCAGGAAAGTCATGATGGCCTTGTTGTTGCCATGGGAATACGACGTTTTAAGGTCAATAGCTGCAGCTCATTAGTCATTTTGCTTTCTTTTCAGGATATTTTACGTCTCACATGACTCACAGGACCTGAAGATATTCAGTTATATCGCAAGAGACAAGAAAAGCAATGTGTTTCGCTGCAATGTCTTCAAATCGAAGAGAAAGGTAAGAATGCAGCCAAAGATTGCCAATAGCACATCCCAATTATGCCTGGCATGGTGAGTAAATGTTAAGGTAATTTTATTTTATACTTTTGTGTTTTTACTTTTAAAATGTTTTTAAGTAAAATGAAACAAATATGGAAACTACTGTGTAGTAAATTTACTCACCGGCCACTTTATTAGGTACACCTTACTAGTACTGGGTTGGACCCACTTTTGCCTTCAGAAATGCCTTAATCCTTCATGGCATAGATTCAACAAGGTACTGGAAATGTTGCTCAGATTTTGGTCCAAATTGACATGATAGCATTACGCAGTAGCTGCAGATTTGTCTCCCGTAACACCGCATCCCAAAGGTTGGATTGAGATCTGGTGACTGTGGAGGCCATTTTGGTACAGTGAACTCATAGTCATGTTCAAGAGACCAGTCTCTGATTCGTGCTTTGACATGGTGCATTATTTTGCTGGAAGTAGCCATCAGAAGATGGGTACACTTTGGTCATAAAGGGATGGACATGATCAGCAACAATACTCAGGTTGGCTGTGGCGTTGACACAATGCTCAATTGGTACTAATGAGCCCAAAGTGTGCCAAGAAAATATCCCCCACACATTACACCACCACCACCAGCCTGAACCATTGATATGAGACTGGATGGATTCATGCTTTCATGTTGTTGATGCCAAATTCTGACCCTACCATCCAAATGTTGCAGCAGAAATGGAGGCTCATCAGACCAGCCAACGTTTTTCCGATCTTCTATTGTCCAATTTAATCGCGATTAATCGTGATTAATTAAAAAAAGTGTGATTAATTAGTACATTTTTTTCCGATTGACAGCACTAATTGATAGACAACATCAAAAATGCCAGTTTATACCAACTAGAGACCGTAACGGCATCAAAATATCATATTGTGATAATAGTGACCAAAATGATCACGTTATCATGAGCTGGAAATGTATAAAATGAAATATTACACCCTCTTTCGGTGTGGTCTTCTGCTGCTGTAGCCCATCTGCCTCAAGGTTCAACATGTAGTGCATTCAGAGATGCTCTTCTGCATATCTCGGTTGTAACGAGTGGTTATTTAAGTTACTGTTGCCTTTCTATCAACTGAATATAGTACTTTCTGAAATACTCAGGCCTGCCAGTCTGGCACCAACAACCATGCCACAAGTCACTTAAATCCACTTTCTTCCCCATTCTAATGCTCGGTTTGAACTGCAGCAGATCGTCTTGACCATGTCTATATGCCTAAATGCATTGAGTTGCTGCCATGTGATTGGCTGATTAGAAATGTGTGCTAACAAGCAGTTGAACATGTGTACCTAATAAAGTGGCTGGTGAGTTTATATAAATACATTCCTAAATAAAACAACAATTATTAAATTAAGCTCACCCAAATCCACACAGAAAATCGCACCAACCTTCATATTAATTAGAATTGATATTTTCTGACTGTTGCGATTATTTTTTTATTTCTCATGCCATATTTTTAATCAGTGAGACAGGTTAGCCTTTTTTCTCCAAAAAAAAAGAAAACGATTTTGGCATAAGCTTCATATGTATGAGTCTCTTGGCTTGGGTTTTTGTAGAGAGCACCGGGGACCATCTAAAATGATCTAATCCATCACTTTGACAGCACCACTGTAATATGCAATTGATTTATGGATGTAATGTTCTCCCTCTCTCAATCACTCTTCTCTTTCCCTAAATCTGTCCATCTCATCTATAAATCCCCTTTCCTCTCTTGGAGATGAAATAATTCCCCTGTATATCCCAGTGAAGGACCCATATCCCATATTCCAGTTTTTTGTTGACCCATATCAAAAACTACAGATGTTTATTTGCATGTGCAGAGGCATTTTTGACATGTTCAATTAAGCTTTGTTTGCTTAAAGATCTGCCATCTGTGTCTCAGAGCCAAGCCATGAGGATTGTGCGGACCGTGGGTCAGGCGTTTGAGGTCTGCCATAAACAGAGTCTAGACAATGCTGACGGTAAGAAGACATTGAACTACACTCACATTTCCACCTTTTTGTTTTGTTTTTATAAACAAATTTTCTATTTAAACAAGAGACTATATAAACACACATCCTTTAAAAAAGACCTTATAAACAAGACACAGGTGAACATAATCGGATTCCATGGAAACAAACAGGTTGTATCAGATATTAGCCCCTATACCCTAAATAGTGTAGTGCACTTTTTAGGGTATAGAGGCCAATATCTGATACAACCTAGATCTATTTGAACAAACGTGTAAATCAAAACAAGGCACTCTATAAACACACATCAAAATACACAAAAACTATATAAACAAGGCACAGGTGAACATAATCAGGTTCCATAGAAACAAACAGGTTGTATCAGATATTGGCCTCTTTACCCTAAATAGTGCACTGTTTGGTTGATCTATTTGGTAAATTGCTTAAAGAATAAATAGATACAAAATCTTTTCATCACCTGGCAAGCAATTTTGTGTTAAATAGATGTCTAAACATAGATGATTTGGGTAAAACAAGGCTAAATTTAGTCTGTCAGTAAAAATCTAATTGGCAAATTACGAATTAATCATCTATTAAACCTAAAAAAATGTTTGTTTGGTAGCGTTTTCCTCAGATTCATAGCATCATAGTTTTGTTGTTATATATGATCTGTGCTATGTATGATTTACTTTGTAAATTATTTGTGAATTTACAAGCAATCAGAGTTAAAATAAAAAAAAACATTGAGTAGCACATTGAAGTAAAAATTAAAATCTGATGTGGGGAGAAAAGTGAAATTGGGTTTGGTACCAAATAACGTGGGGCCTCTTGTATCAACGCTGCGAACGCACAGAAACTTTGCGTACGCCAGATTTCACACTGTCAATCAAACGGTGATGGGTGGGAATCGCTCAACTAGCTCATTCCAACGAGGTGTGCTATTGACACTTAGCCTAAATAGACACTACAAAATTTTACACCTTTACATCAGACTATTTCTTTTTTAATTCACTCACAGTGCGATGTTCAGACCCCACTGCGTTAACCGCATCAGCAAAACTCTCCCACTCTATTTTTTTCTTTTGTTATTAATTCCGGACCACAAACTTGGTAATAACATCGTTTTTCTTTGGTCTAACTCCAAAAGGAGCGCCTCCAGTTCACATTCTGTTCAAATTTTCTCTTTTTGCTTGCTTTTGCCATTGCTTTTTTGTTTGGTTTTGCCAAAGAAAAGTCATTACCATATTTATTAGAGGGAGGAGGCAAGGAGGGGTTTTGCGCTCGTGCACGTGCGCTCAGTTTCATGGTAATTCAAATGTACAATGTGAATATGCGTGGGATTCCGCGCATTCCGTTTCCTACATCTGAATTTGTTCCTGTGTACGCACATTTACATGTACGCAATGTTTTAGTATGAATTCAATGCAAGTCTTCGTACATGAGGCCTCTGGTCTTTTGACAACATCAATTTGCACAAATGCAAATTCAAACACATACTGATAATAGTACCTCAATGCATGAAAATGACATACTGTACAACATAATTACCCAATTTGTGTGAGAATTCAAAAACACTAAAATAGCTTATACTTCTCCTTAAATTAAGATAGTTCAATAGGCTGGCCGGATTAATTTTTGGTAGCCCGGCTGGAAAACATAATAGGTAAAATATATATAAGATTGGTGTGGACTTCTCTAGGCAGCATTATCACTGTACGCTTAGTTGATGGAGCAAAAAGGTTACAAAAATTCAATAAACATATTTAGGGGAAAAAAAAATAAAGAGACTTAATCTATACCTGTGAAACTTGTCTTTGACTTTTTTGGTATTTTAAAAGATTATTTGATTTCTAATTTGCTTTATCTGCATTGGCAGCATGGCTTGTAAAAGGAGAAGAGGAGAGAAGCAAAGATGAAGCAGTGGCTGCTGGCAGCAGCACTGAGAGAGCAGGCGATGCTGACCCGGAGACAGATGAAAAGGTAAAGTCTGCATGACTTAATAAATAACTAATTTATTTGTATAAATAATTCCCTCAGCTAGCAGAATATCTGGAAACAATACACTGTAAAAAAAAGTGTATTATGTATATGTAACCACGGACGCACACAACTGAGGTAAGATCCAATATGCAAGTTTAATCGTCGTCAGGCAAGCAAAGGTCAATACAGGTGCAAATGGGTATGTGTAGGCAGTCCAGAATCATAATCGGTAACAAGCGAGAGGTCAAAATGTAGGCGGCAGACAAATATGCTAACAAGGCTAAGGTCGGTACACAGGATAACAAGACTGGGACCCGCGTTGTAGGGCTACTGACAGTAAACAAGACTCAACAAACTGAATGGGTGAGTGTGTGGCTTAAATAGTGTGTGCAATCAGTCTCTGACAATCCTCAGGTGGTGTGAATGTAATCAGTTTAGATGAGGAAGCATGTGTGTCTGTGACCGGAGTGCATGTATGAAAATGTAGTCCAACAATGGCGGAATTGTAGTCCAAGGTTATGGTGAGTAAGAACCAGCGATCTAATGGAATACGATCGCTGGTAATCGTAACAGTTTAAATGTTTTTTTTTAATGTTACATTAACATAACTTAATAAGTTAATCAGTTTTGAACTACAAAGTTTTTTTTAAGTTATGCCAAGTTTATCTTAATATTTGTAACCCATTTGATTGATATAAGTTGAGATGACTTAAAAAGTTCATTTGATTCAACTCAAGAAATGTTTTGTTCAGTGTACAAGTTTTTATTTATACCTTATTATTTTTCCTCCATGTTTATTCACAGTGACTTAAAAAATGTTTAGCAACAGAAAGGTTAGCAGGTAGAACATGTCTGTGGTCTTTTATAGCTCGTTTCACCTGTTTTTTTTCTTTTTTTTTTTTTGTTATTTATAGACTCTAGACTCTAGAGTGTGCTCATCCCTCACGTTTTTAGGGCAGAATTTGGGCCAAGATCAAAAGTAGGACTACAAAAATGAATAATTACCAGCCAGCTGTCTAAAATTGAATTCATTTAGTTATTTATAAAATACATGTCATATATAAATGTAAATAAATGTAAAAGTTCTGTATAAATCAATGCAGAAAGCAGAGTAAGGGGCTGATCCACCTAACACTCTTTTTGCATTGAGAGGCGACTTTTTTGAATGGTTTTCTAATTGCTACGAACGTTTTGCCCTCTGCTTATGTGCACTGCATGCCTCATGTTTTAATCACTGAATTAATCTGTGCAAAATGTAATGGCTGAGCTGCATTGAATGGTAAGAACGACAAAATAGTAGGCTACTATCCGCTAGTTAAGTCGTGATGTATGGAATACTGTTTTCGGGTCCAAGGCACTACTCATTTAATTGAGAAAGTATTCATTTATGGCCACTTTTTAGTCATATCTCACATTAAAGTGAATTTCAGGTAAAATCATGATGTGCACAACAGTCTCTGGACTTGCTGCATCACAAACACTAATATTTTAACAATTTATAAAAAAAAAAAGATCACTTTCTGGCCATCTCATATTAGGCATGGACATATATTGCGATTGATTTTTTAAAAGTATTACAGCGGTTTGTAAACATTTGTTATTATCATTTGTTGAGTCTCCTCATACAGTTTGATATGACGATTGGACCCGGAAGCTGCTTAGTGTGACGTCACACTTTACAAGCAGATTACTACTACTACTACTAGTAATAATAATATTAATTACCACAACAGCTTTTGTATTGTTTCTGTTGCATATTTATTTTATAAATGGTGCAGCTGTAAGGAAGCCTCATAAAAATCACTAAATATGTTTACCATATGTTCAATATATGTCACGATACCATTAATTCATTTTACGATAGTATACCAGCTGAAGTATCATGATGCCAAGTAGTATTGCGATATTGTAATTCATTCATTCATTCATTTTCTTGTCGGCTTTTATTAATCCGGGGTCACCACAGCGGAATGAACCGCCAACTTATCCAGCAAGTTTTTAAGCAGAGGATGCCCTTCCAGCTGCAACCCATCTCTGGGAAACATCCACACACACACATTCACACACACACACAAACTCATACACTATGGACAATTTAGCCTTGAATTTAAGTCATAATTCCCTTATTATTGAAAAAATATTATTTGCATGTCACTTTACCTAAAATTTGTCCTTTTTGTTTATTTTGCTGATAACTGGCCAACAAAAAAAAAATGCATTAAAATAAAAATACAAATATATTAAATGAAATTTGTTACCAAAAAAGCATTTTTCAACAATATTAGTCTACATGGTGTGGTCAAAAATAGTTTCAATGTTTTCTGTTGCTATTTTTGGATTTTCAACCTTTTTTCTTTTAAACTTTTATCCGGTAATAATCCAAAGTAATTCAAAATTTTGCTTTGTGAGTCGTTCTTTTTAAGAGATTGTTGGGGTTGTTTTTCGCTACTCAATCATATTGAGAGGAACAGAAATGAATCAATTCAGATGCGAGTTTGAAATGTCAGAAAACTTGCAAGATTTAAGGGCAAACGTGTGAGCAAACGTGAGTGACTTTTCCACATCCAACATTATCTATTGTAGATACAGTTAATGACAATACTACCGTTTACAAATTACAGTGGCACCGCCAGTATTTTGGAGCCATAATATCGCGATACTACCATATCACCGGCAAACCATGCAACCCTAAACCTTATAACCCTTTAGATAGGCCTGGGTAAAATATTATATAGTTTGCAGATTTTATATGGAGTTCTATGAAGTATAAGAGCAAATTATAACATGTGTGCATAAATACACTTACAATGTTTACTATGTTCTGAGAGCTGTGGTGCTTTTTTTCATTTTCTCAGACATATCAAGATAAGTGCGCAAAGGTCTCTCACAGACACACGCTATACTCCATATAACCCCACATAAAAGCCAGAAATTAAGCTTTTTTGCCCTGCAACTGAGAAATCAACAGTAAGAATTACAAATTGTAGCTTATCCCATCAGAAAAAAAAACACACCAACAATCAAGAATGCATGATTGTATGGTGTCAAGGCTTTGCGATCAGAAATGTCATTATAATGGAAGTCAATGGGGCAAAACAGCCTAGATATTTAGATATTTTACTCAAGACACTTTTATAAAGCTTAAAGTGACATTTAAAGGCTTAACTAGGTTGACTAGGCAGGTTAGGGTAATTAGGCATGTCATTGTATAATGATGGTTTCTTCTGTAGACAATCAAACAGGAATTGCACAAGGGAGCTAATAATATTGACCTTAAAATGATTTTTAAAAATGTAAAAACTAATTTTATTCTAGCTAAAATAAAACAAATAAGACTTTCTCCAGAAGAAATGCATGATTGTATGGTGTCATGGCTTTGCGATCAAAAATGTCATTATAATGGAAGTCAATGGGGCAAAAACAGCCACGGACATAACAAAAGGGTAGTACATTTGCACAGAGTGTGTTGTTAAGTTTTTACAAGTCATTTTCCCAAAATATGTGTCAAAATACGATTTGTCGCCAAAAATTATTCCATTTGTTGAAACACAAAGAAAGCACTTGCCAAATTAGGAATCTAAATCACCCTAGAGTGGATGAAAACTAAGGGGAAGGCACCTGCTTGGTAAAGTAAATTGAAAATAAAGGTAAATAAACGCTGCTTTTTCTTCGTGCAGGTGGAGGAAGAGTCGAAGTCTCCTCTCTCCAGCCCTCTGTCTGTGAGCCATCAGGTGCAGCTCCTGCAGAGACAGTTCCAGCAGCAGGAGCAGAGGAGTCACGCCGCCTCTGCGCAGGTCAATCACAAGACAGATTGCTTTCACATGATGCCTGTGCTGACATTTAGCTCGACATAAAGGGCATTTCAAGCATTAAAGTGTAATACAGCCCTCTTCTTTTACCCTATTCTATTTTTTATGAGCAACGTATAATGGTCATCAAACAGTTTTCCACCATGATCTACAGAACACACGCGCTAAAATGTCAATCAGTCTATCAGCACGCTGCACAATGGACCCTTTTCACAATACTGTTATGACGTGTTTAGTGGTCATCATATTCTTAAATCAATGAACGTGTTTTAAAAAAACATGTACATTTAAGATTATTTACGTATCTGTTATACCATCTTTACATCAAATTAAAAAACTAATAACCGCTTGCTTGAGGTGTTTCTAACACTATAGATTCAGGACAGTAAATTTGACATTGATTTTTCCTTCAGCTTAGTCCCTTTATTCATCAGGGGTCACCACAGCGGAATGAACCGCCAACTTATATTTTACACAGCGGATGCCCTTCCATCCATACCCTCTCACATGCACACTCGTACACTTCCGCCAATTTGGTTTATTCAGTTCACCTATAGCAAATGTCTTTGGACTGTAAGAGAAACCGGAGCACCCGGCTGAAACCCACACCAACACGGGGAGAACATGCAAACTCCACACAGAAATGCCAACTGACCCAGCTGGGGCTCAAACCAGTGACCTTCTTGCTGTGAGGCGACAGTGCTAACCACTGAGCCACCTGTCTTCTGTTAAACACTAATTAAGATATTTTGAAAATAGATGAAAACCCGTAATCATTGACTTCTACAGTAGGATAAACAAATATCACAGAAGTCAATACAGGTTTCCAACATTTTTCAAATTATGTTCTTTTTTGTGTTTAACAAAATAAATAAACTTATAAAGGTTTGAAAAAAAGTGCAGAGTGAGTAAATGATGACAGAATTGTCATTTTTGGGTGAACTAAATCACTTAAATCATGTGTGTAAGTTTTTTTAGGCTAAAATGTTTAAAGGTCCATGTGAATTTAGCATTATAGCTTGCTCTATGAAAATAAATGTCCATTTAGAGTATTATTCATAGAGATTATACATCAAAAATCTAGGGCTCTATTTTGACGGTCCATGCGCAGAGCGCAAAACGCAGGGCGCAAACGCTTTCAGGGCATGTCAGAACGCATTTTTGCTAATTTAAGGACGGGAAAATCCGCTTTGCGCCATGGTCCATGGTCTAAAAGGGTGGAGTTTATTTTCTTAATGAGTTATAGGTGTGTTTTGAGAATAAACCAATTATACTCTCATCTCCCATTCCCTTTAAGACCCAGCTGCGTCACGCCAAGAGCGCATTCGCTATTTACAGGACGCAAAGTAAGTCTAAGTGGAAAAAATGAGCATTTCACTAGCAAACAGTTAACAGTTTACAGTTTTTTTTTTTACAGAAAACTGTTAAACAGAGCATCTACTGCGTGAGAATGAGAGATAATGGATCTACTTTCACATTCGCTCTTGGATAGGGAAACCTTTACGCACAGACATCAATTAGTCTATAAATAAGTAATTTTGTTTGTTAAGCGCAAATATTCATTTCAAAACTATTTCTAAATTCAGTTCTAATTTTCAGCAAACGAATAAATGAACAATAATAACAAAATGTGCTCAAAAACCTGAGTTATATCCTAAAATCTAAGCTTGTTTTAAATAAAACAAATATAAATATGGATATAATAAATGAAAAAGCCTCCCGAGCTGATGAAGACATAAAAGCAGTGGTTTTTCATATTTATGTAGGCTAGAAAATAATATGTTTTGTAATATTTTAATCCTTTATATTTATATCCTATATCTATTCTTATTATATCCTATATATATCCTTAATATTTAATTTTTTCATATGTAAAGATATTTGCCTATTGCTCTCTTTTGTGTATTAAGCAGTGTGTAAGCGAGGCGCAACTCTGCGCCGGAGTTTAGACCGGGTTTGTTTTGGTCTAATGAAAAATCTTTTATAGTTTCTTAAAATAGCAACGCGCCATCAGAACGCCTTCCTTTTTAGACCAGAACGCCTATGGGCGCACATATGAACGCTAATGCATTTGCTATTTAAACAGCGTAGCGCAACGCCTCAAAATGACTCTTGCGCCAAGCTGAAACTACCAAAAGACTATTGCGCCTTGCACCACACTGCGCCGGGTGTATGATAGGGCCCCTAATCTCCACATCAACATCCAATTAGACAGATAAATATCTTTGCTCTTCGTTTTATTTGACATTCCAATACACTCATTCCATCACACAGTACTGCATAAAACATGCTCCCATTTTCTAATTAAATTAGAAAGATTTTGTCACTGCTCCCATTCGCCATTAAATTATTAGTGAGATTACCACCGCTTGAGAGCGTGCACAGTGTGAGGTGAATTATGAAGTAGACAGAAAATCCTCATGACATAAATTGATGGAGGGACCTGAACCATATAAAGTTGAAGTCAGAATTTTCAGTCCTCCTGTTCAAATGTTATTATTTCAGATTTTTTCATAGTTTCTATTTAGTGGAGAGAATTTTTTTTAACACATTTATAAACATAATACTTTTAATTACTTATTTCTAATAACCATTTATATGGATACACCTTAATAAACTTATTGGGAATTTCACAAGAAAAAGCAATGGTGTGCTTGGTTTTAAATGTAACTTTATTCTTTCATAAGTTATTTACAAGCCCCCGTACATATACCAATGTGCCACAAACAGGAAATTAATATCACCATCCATTCCCATTTTATTAAGGTGTATCCATATAAATGGCCTAACCTGTATTTTATTGTTGCCATGACGACAGCACATAATATTTAACTAGATATTTTACTCAAGACACTTTTATACAGCTTAAAGTGACATTTAAAGGCTTAACTAGGCAGGTTAGGGTAATTAGGCATGTCATTGTATATTGATGGTTTCTTCTGTAGACAATCAAACAAGAATTGCACAAGGGGGCTAATAATATTGACCTTAAAATGATTTTTAAAATTGTAAAAACTCATTTTATTCTAGCTAAAATAAAACAAACAAGACTTTCTACAGAAGAAAAAATATTATTGTAAATACTGTGACAATTCCCATGCTCTGTTAAATATCACTTGTAAAATATTTGAAAAAGAATATTATTATAATTACTATTTCATAGACACTTGAGAATGAGCTTGTATGATACAGGGCAGTAAAGAACCATTTAAAGCACTATAGCAACCACCTTAGCTACACTTTATCATCACATTGGCAGACATCCAGAATAGCCTACCATTATAGCAGCAGGTTTTCCCACAGACAAGCAGCTCTCGTAGTGTTTTAGAAAGTCTAAAAATGTTGTTGTTGTGTAGGTGGTTCTTCTTCAGCAGCAGCTGTCGGTGGAGACAAACGCCAGGACAGAGGCTCAGGCTCGAGTCCAGCAGCTCCTGCAACAGAACACTGAACTCTTGCAGCATCTCTCACTGCTGGTCAAACACGTCCAAGAGCTGGAGCTCCGCACGCAACCACACAAAAACTCCCCCTGTACGTCTCATTGTGCAGCTTTAAGGGGCCGTTCACACAAAATGCATTTTTCTTTTGCAACATGCTACTTTTTCTATTGTTTACAGTATGCTCTCGTTTAGCGTTTTTTGAAGCATGAGCGCATGGGGGGGTAACACTTTATTTTGATGGTCCATTTAAGTATTAGTAGTCTGTCTGCTTAATATATGTTGATACTGCTCCTTCAACAGACATTTAACTCACTATAAGAAACTTTGCAAGTACATGTCAACTTAGGCCGTACTCACACTAGGTACAGTTGCCTCGAACCAGGCCAAAGCACGCTTGTCCCCACTCCCGTCTCCCCTGACGGCCAGCACTCACACCACCAATGGGCCCTTGCACGCTTACGTCATCAATGCTGCGCTTTTCAGTGAGAAACGCTCTCACTTAGAAGCACAGTGGAGATTTCTCTAGTTATATCGTTTCAGTCGTTTGTTATGCAGTGACATGCAGTCAAATATTTCGCCAAACAGTCCTTAGGGATGCGGTGACACGCAGTCAGATATTTCGCAGAACAGATCCGCCACTTTTGCCACTCATAAACAATCATAAAGCCCTCGTGCTGCAGGAATGAGGAGGTCTGCTGAAGCCGTGCAGCTGTCGTGCAGTGAGGGGTTTGCGTCTTTAATAAACTACGGCAGTTTGAATTCACTGAACAGTAAGAATGATTAATAAATCCATATGAAACAGCCCCTTTAAAGTCACGTGTCGCTTTCAGTTTCGGGCTTTGGCACGTTTTGCACTCACACACAAGCGTACCGCGCCAAAGCCCAAGTGAACCACGCTCAGGCTCACCTCTTCCAACCGGGCCAGGGCCGGCCAAGTGAACCGTGCTTGAGCCCGATTCAGCGCACTCGCACTTCTCAAACGATCCGGGAAACGGGCCTGGGCACGGTACGGATGGCATAGTGTGAGTAGGCCCTTACACTAACCTTAACCCCAACCCTAAAAGTCTACTTATAATCTAATTATAATTAGTTAAGATGTAGATGCAATGTAACTTAAATGCAACAAACGGACCATCAAAATAAAGTGGGACCTTTTTTTGATGCTTTAACTTTAACGTTCACAAGCAACACAGCTCATTACTGTCAGCTCCAATTGAGTGGACTTGAGTGGAGCTTCTGTTTATTTATTTATTTATTTTTTACTTTATAGAAGTTTTTGTAAAAACATGACACCAAATAATGTACATCGTGTATATATGTTAACGAAATTATCTCGGTGTTATTACCTGATATTAACTAGAATATGCACCAAAACACTAGCCAACAATCAACCTAGGCTCATTCTGGAAACGTAGCCCCGCGGACGTTTCTGGAGACCGCGAAATACGTCCTGGGAGGTACGTATTTGTGCAGTTTTTGTTTTAGTGAAGCCGTGATAGGCCGCTGTGCACGATTTTTCGCTTCTCGAATACCTCTCGTGAGCGCATGCCATTTGAGCATGCACTATTCTCGCGTAAAAAGCCACCGGAGGCCACCTGTCGAGCGATCGTCTGTCCGAATGACTGAACGATTGACCCAGCTTCCTCCTCCTACTTTTTCCCTAAACCAAAGGGACGATTTACAAAAGCCATCCAGAAAAAGAAAAGCCTTCGTTCGATTTTGACATTTTGCATTTTCAGATTTCACCGCATTCTCGCCCCGTTATGAACTCGTTTGCTTTATTTTTTGGATTCTGTTTTTTTCTTCCCCGAACTCGAACCCGGTCGTCGTTGCAGCCGGCTCCTCCTCTGGGCCTTTACTTCGCCGACGTAACACAACGAGCTAACCGGACAAACTGGTTAAAAGCCCTCCACATGAAAGTGAGCCGTCAGCCGGCAAGCACAAAGCGTTCACTTGCAAAAACGAAATGCAGCCATAAAAAATTTATTACAGAAACATTATTAACCTATACATCCAAGGAAGGGACCCTATATTTTGTCATACAACTTCTGTTTGCCAAATCTAGAGAAACGTAACCTTTCCAGCTTGAGGGCAGAAACTATTTCAGCTAACCATTTAAAAAAAATTTGGAGGTGTCGTGGATTTCCACTCTATCAGAATCACTCTCTTGGCCAGCACCATGCCAAACATAAGGGAGAGTTGTTGATGTTTAGGCCAAGTTAGAGCCTGGTCTGAACACCCAAACAGTGCTATTTCCACATCAATTTTAATGTCCATTTTAAAAGCCTGGGAGTAAAAGTCTGAAGATACTTTTCGAACTTCACTTCTGGACAGGACCAGAATATATGACCATAGGACCTGACTGCGCCCTTGCATTTATCATACAGAGGAGAGATAGAAGGATACAGCTTGTTAAGTTTGGCTTTAGTATAGTGTAATCTATGCTTTACTTTAATATGTATGAGCTGTAGTCTTACATTTATAGAGCAAAAGTGAATACGACTCAGTCCCTCCTCCCAAGTAGAGGATGAAATGTCAATTCCTAATTCCCTCTCCTAAGACTCCTTAAGGTGTGCAGTAGAGACCGAAACGGCGAGCTTCTGTTTATAGTAGAAAGTTGACATGACAACTGTTTTATTTACAGTTATATCATGGGGGAGGAATCGCTCATTAGCTACATTTCCATCCACCATTTTTAATGTGCGTTTTGGATATGCGCATAAAAAATCAGTTGATGAAAATGCCAAGATGCGCATAAATATAAAAAATGCACTTAAAAAAACGTATGCACATAACTGAGTAGGATAAACTTTTTATTCGATGAGAAAAGATGCGCATAAACTACGATGGAAACACATGACGCCGTTCCTTTTCCCGGTTACCAGCTAACCGCTTACCTCAGTATAGACGGTTGTCGAGCGGCTCGACACGTACGTCACCAGACTTGAGATGCAGAGCAGAATTGACCACGACAACAAGGTTTGAGTTGAGTTGGTGAAGATTAGTTCTAGAAAAAAAAAAAAGTAACAGGGTGAGAATGTGGTAAAAACGTGGTAAAAATCAGGCTGCCGCGAGGGCTTTTCTTTTTCTGGATGGCTTTCGAAAACACTGTGATTGGGTTTAGGGAAGGGGGTAGGCTGGTCAATCAGTGCTTTTTAAAACACTATCGGTTGGGTTTAGGGTCAGTGAATTGACAACGGTCTCTGGTGGATATGCGTGAGAACAGCAGGCGCGAATGGCACTCACGAGAGAAATTTGTGAACTGAAAAACCATATACAGCGGCCTCTGGCGGATTCGTGAAAACAAAAACTGAAAAAACGTAGCTCCTGGGACATATTTTGCTCTCTCCAGAAATGTAAATAGGGGTGCATAAGCAGAATGAGCCGGGGTTGTTTTTATGTCTAGATAAATAAAGTCTCTGAGTTATCATTTTATTGACCATGCAATTATGTAATTTTCTCCATATAGTGGGATCTCAAGACAGCCTTCTGGAAATCGCCTTGCGTGCCAATATGCCAGCAGTGTCGCGTGAGCCAAAACCCAATCCCCTATTAAGCGCTCAAAGAAGTTTCCCTCTCTCAAACAGCCTGGTTCGGCTGGACGGCTTTCATTTCTTCACAGGAGCTTCAGAGCAGGAGAAGAAGCCGGAGCAGGACCGCGACTCAGGCAGGGGTCAGGATGAAGATCAGTCAGGTGGATCGTCTCCTCCAGAGAACCAGTTCCTCAGTGCTCTGGACACTCCTGGATTCAGAGAGTCGGGCATCGCCTCCGGGTATGAGTCCAACACAGATGAGAGCGATGATCGGGACAGCTGGGGCCAATAACTGTGAAAAACAGCCCAGCTCACACCAGCAGGGGTAGCAGTTCTGCACTTTAGGTTTACATCGTGGCTTCAGCTGTCAGAATAACCTTTTTAAGTCCAATATCTGCTATCTGCATTTATTAACCAATTGCATTTAAAGCTGCAGTATGTAACTTTTAGTGCACTCACTTATTTTGAAAATAGGCTCATTTTGCAACTCACCTAGAGTTTTATCCTTTTTTAATCCATTCAGCTGATCTGAGGGTTTGGCGGGAGCACTTTTAGCTTAGCATAGCATAAATTATTGAATTGAATTAAATCATTAGCATCATTAGCAAAATTCTTCAAAAATCATTTATTTAATATTCCTATTTAAAGCTTGAATCCTCTATATTTACATTGTGTACTAAGATTGACGGAAAATGAAAAGTTGCTACTTTGTAGGCCGATATGGCTCGGAACTATGATTTCATTCTGGCGTAATAATCAAGGAACATTGCTTATGTACCATAGCTGCAGCAGGCCAACGATATTAGGCAATGCCTGAAAATAGTCCCTAGCTAGGTAACTAGGTCACAGCGCTGCATAATATCAGTATGCCTGCTGCAGCCATGGTACAGCAGCAACATCTTTTAATTATTATGCAAGAATAAGATTTAAAAAATAGCCTCAAAAATAGCATCTTTTCATTTTCTGTTGCTCTTTTCACCTAAGTAACTACAAAAGAGTCAAAGGGCACCTATGGTGAAATATCTACTTTTCAAACTGTTTGGACAGACATGTAAGTATAGTGGTGTAGACCTTCATATTGGGGTGATATAAACACACCCAGTCCCTTTTCTTTAATTTAACAACATAAAAACGTCGGACCAATTTGAGCGGTTTTAAGATCGACCGCAACTCGACGTTGGAGTGTGGTCCCCCCGCCCACCAATATTGATTGACAGGCACGCATTACCACATCCTCACACAAGAGCCTTCATCCTCTTCCTGCTAATGAGCAACAAAGATTTTACTTTTAGCGGCCATTTGAGCTGAACACGCAGTGAACGCAACGTATCAAGATTCGGGCCATCAAAAACAGCTGATCCACCGAGTTATTCAGCACTCTCTCTGAAAACACTCAATTGATCTCGGCTGGTGGATCAACATTCACCACATGATCGCTCTCATCTGCACCATTGTTTGTAACTGTAGGTGGGTTTGCAAACCAGTGTACTTTTCATTGCGCCTTCCTTAAACTTTAGCCGTTTGAATTTCCCGCACTCACAGAAGCTCACTATCATCTCAACTAGGTGCGGCTGTAAAGTGTGAGCGCGTTGCCTCGCGTGCATGTCCCTCCATTGTATATAACTTGCCTTAGTTATAGCCTCAGTCAAAGTTAATCCAATCTGCATGGTTATTAGTCTCGATGTACAAGCTCGGAACTTTAAACTAGCAAACACTTGGCATAACTTTGTTTAGTTGCCGCAGTTTTGTTCCATGAAGAAACACGATATTGAGAAGCCTTTAATATGAATTAACCTTAACAAATAAAAGCGAGACTAATAGTGAAACCAGTTATTCATTACATCCCTTTATGGATGACGCATGCATCGTTATATAGTGGCTGTAAAACTATACAAAGACACAAATGGTTTTGTAAGTATCACTCTGACATATTCTGGCACATGATTGATTCCTCAACAGTAGTCTCTGCTTGGCCTGTGTCCAAGTTGTACATGTACGGTTGAATGCTGATCCTCTCACTCATGTTGCATCTCTCTGTCTGCCTGTTGCCATACACAAAGCAGGGGAGCTCTTGGCTCCGCCCCCTTGTTAAGTTGGGCGGGAAGTCGAAACTAATTTTCATGTGAAGCAACACGCCCCTAAAACAGCAAGCTGTGTACACGCCCCCAAATAAAACTTTTTAACACATTATAATAAACAAATCTGAACTGTGTTTTGAACTGAACCTAAACTGGCACACTCAGAAGAACCATAATATTAATATTAAATCTTAAAAAGGGGGTGAAATAGGTGCCCTTTAAATAGGAAAATTATCCTAACTCTTTTTAAAAATATTTTGACAGAGATGCTAATGGTCTAATCCAATTCAATGACTTATGCTAGGCTAAGCTAAGCTAAAAGTGCTACCACAAGACCTGGAGATTTGTTGAAAGGATTCAAAACTGGTAAAACTCTACAGTCTAATGCTGATTTATACTTATGCGCAGCCTCCTTGCTCTGTCGCATACCCCTTGCCGTGGCTAACACCGACGCTGACAAGTGTGTTGAGAGCTGTGAGCCCGATGGAGCGAGCGTTTAGAAGTGTCGAGTCCTGTGAAGAAGCTCCAGATGGAAATTTTTGTTTTGTATTTACCTCATAATTAGGCCTAGACTGAAACTGCATATGTTTATTGCTATTTTTTGCGAAGAATTTTGTTTAAAATCTGCGGATTTATTCTGAATGACTTTGGGAGTATCGCAACTAAAAACTTAGTATATGATTTATTCAACCCGGGCTCATTGTGGAAATGTAGCCCCGCGGACGTTTCTGCGGACCGCGATTTACGTCCCGGGAGGTACGTTTTCGAGCGTTTTTTTGTTTTCGCGGATCCGCGAGAGGCCGCTGTGCGTGCTTTTTCACGTCTCGGGCACCTCTCGGGAGCGCCCGGCGTTCGCGCCCGCGCTGTTCTCGTGCGAAAAGCCGCCGGGTCGGAAAAAAAAAAAAAGCAAAAGCCCTCGTCTTCGATTTCGACCACGTTTTCGGATCCCGCCGCGTTCTCGCCCTTATTTTTCGGATTCCGTTTTTCGTCTTACCTGATTTCCGGAACCTGCTGTTCCCCGGACTCGATCCCGGTCGTCGTCCACCGCGGCCGGCTCCTCCTCCGGGGCCTCCGCTCCGCCGACGCAACGCTGTGAGCTAAGCAGACAAACTGATTGCATCGGGAAAGCCCTCCACTCGGAGGCGAGCTGTCGGCCGACGAGCGCGAAGAGGAGGGGCGGAGTGGCGCCACACCGCCCCGCAGCGTTCGCTCGAAAAAAACCAAACACGGCCTTTACGTACCTCCGGCCACGTAAATCGCGGTCTCCAGAAATGTCCGCGGGGCTACGTTTCCAGAATGAGCTTGGGTTGGATTTATTTGTAACTTTTGTTTAATGTTTGAAATGCAAATCCGATTAGATTCACCTACTTGGTGAACAAAGCAATCTCCAATTTATCTACTAAAAACCAGAAAATATTACTTTACACACTGTATTGTAAATAAATCAAATGAACATTTTCATGTTAGTAAATAATGTTACTGAAATTAATAAAAAAAACTGAATAAATATAAATTTACACAAGTAAATCAATAGACTTAATGATGAGCTAAAGATTTGTGGATTTCTGTGTGTGCAGGTTCCATGTGGGCCCACTTATGATTATAGCCGGTTCCCGCCTATGAATGAGCGAGTTTGAGCCACTTATACATTAAGGTAGCGTTCTTCACCCGTCAAGAAACTCAACACAGAAGAACATATAAACTTACTGACAGCTTGTATTTTGGAAATGTTATTGCAGAGCAACAAAAAGAAGTATAAATACACGGCTGTGCACAAGGCATGCACTGAGGGTTACACTGATTTCTCGACGCAAAAGTATAAATCAGCCTTAACTCTAAGGAAGTTGTAAAATAAGTGTATTATTAATAAATGTGGAGTGTTTGCTTAATAAATTAAACTGCATGGCTCTTGCAGAAAAATATTGTAGAAAAACACTGTAGTCGAGTCACACAGATACTGGACTACTTCGCAACAGAAAACAATCTGACAGATTTAAAAGATTTAAAAACTTCTTTTGGCCTCATCGTAGTGGTTCAGGATTAGCTTTGGATTTGTGATATACTCGCTCATTATGGTGTTAATTTTGAACAAAGAAGTAATATACTACAGCTTTAACTTTGTGTCAGCATCATGATTGTGTGCTAAATATAAAAAAAACTGTTGATCAATGTTAAATTGAGTTAAAGGCATACCGTAGCTCATATTATGAAAAAAAAATCTGAAATTTCTATAATTTTTTTTTCATTTTACATGATGCATATTTCAGATGTTATTATAATGTTATACAGCAAAAGTAAGAGAGTAAAGGCATTAAATCATTTCTATAGTTTTGTATTCGCAGCATTTATACGTGTAATGGTCATCCTTTTCACTTTATTCATCAGATAATCCTAAAAAAAAGCATCACAGCTTCCACAAAAAGATGTTGGTCACACTTTATTTTGATGGTCCGTTTGTTAAATTTAAGTCACACTACATCTACACAGCAAATTTTAGATAGAAGATTTAACTACCTTAGAGTTCAAATTAACACTTCCTCAGAGTTCATATGCAAAACACTATAAAAGTGTTGAAATAACACTTTTGAAAGAGTTAACATTATCAACACTCAGAGAGTGTTAATTAGCAAACTCCTATAGTGTAAAATGATTTTCCGAACACTAGTCAGTGTTATGTTTTAACACTCTTAGGTCATGTTTTTTAACACTGCACCAGTGTTCATTTGAAATATTTTACATTTGTATTTACATTATCCCCTGCCGTTAATTCTATAATTACATGTTACCATTTCAATTCTCCACTCATGCATTAACTATGTGCTGCAATGAATACATTTTATTTTTTTCTTTAACAGGGTTTTACATGCCACTTAAAACACTTTACAATGACATTGTACAGTTGAAGTTAATATTATTACCCCCCTTTGTTTTTTTTTTTTTGTTTTTTTGCAGAACAAAGAATTTTACTGTATGTCTGATAATATTTTTCTTCTGGAGAAAGTCTTATTTGTTTTATTTCGGCTAGATTAAAAGCAGTTTTTAATTTTTTAAAAGCCACTTTAAGGTCAAAATAATTAGCCTCTTTAAGCGATATATTTTTCGATAGTCTACAGAACAAACCATCATTATATAATAACTTTCCTAATTACTCTAACCTGCCTAGTTAACCTAATTAACATAACTAAGCCTTTAAATGTAACTTTAAGCTGTATAGAAGTGTCTTAAAAATATCTTGTAAAATATTATGTACTGTCATCATGGCAAAGATAAAATAAATCAGTTATTAGAAATGAGTTATTAAAACTATTATGTTTAGAAATGTGCTGAAAAAAAATTATCTCCGTTAAACAGAAATTTGGGGGAAAAATAAAGAGCGGGGCTACTAATTCTGACTTCAACTGTACATACAATCTCCTGAAACAAAGCAGCTTTAGTTTTAATGTAACATAGCTAGTACAAAACAAAATAAAGATGAAAATTTATACTTTTTTGTGAGATATTTAAAACTAATGTATATAATGATTTTGATGTCAAATATCTATTTACAAACATTTGAAGTACTTTTACTCACCAGTTGCTTCCTCTCATTGCTCCTCGTAGCAGAAGAAAATAGCGTCTGGGAAAATCCTTCAGGGGTATTGCTGCACAAATTCCCGGTTGTAGTAGTCAACACTGTATTTGCGTTAGATACATGTAACTCTGTAGGACAAGGGGGCAAATCAGCTTCTAAAACTGAGAGGGTTATTTTATCTTTATCTAACTCTAGAATTTCAACACTTTACTCTGAATTACCTCAACACTCAAAATTTACTACTAATGAATTTGCTGTGTACATGCCAACTAATTCTCATTAGATCATAGGTAGACTGTTAAGGTTGGGGTTGGGGTTAGGGTTAGTGTAAGTTGACATGTACTTGGAAAGTTTCTTATAGTCAGTTAAATGTCTGTCGAAGGAGCAGTATCAATAGATATTAAGCAGACAGTCTACTTATACTCTAATGGACCATCAAAATAAAGTGTTACCAAGATGTTTTCAACAATTCACACTGATTATATAAAATAACACATTTTTGAGCACTAAATCTGCATATGAAAGTCATCTCAGAAGGATTATATATTATAATGGCTTAAAATTCAGTTGTGCCATCACAGGAATACATTACTCATTACAATACACTCAAATAAAAAATAAGTTGTTTAAATAATATTTCAGTGTTACTGTTGTTGTGTATTTTTGATCAAAATCTGCATTTTGTTTTCTTGAAATTGTCTTTGAAATGCATTTAAATGATTCCATGGATTTTGTTTTCATATTATTCTAAGTTTAGAAGGACACGAGGGAGATCAAAGATGTCAGAATTTTCACTTTAAAGCTGTTTCTACAATGGCGCTAATCAATTAAACTACTTTTTTTTTCAAGCAATGCATGGCCAGCCATACCTTTAAATACCAGTTATTACTTTGAATAGTTTTCTTTTATTGCACGTTTTAATGCCGTTCAAGCCCAGTATTACAGAGTGAGGTTGTTGTCTTATCATCACTTTGTCTGATAAGATGTGAAACGTGATGTGCAAAGCATGTTTAACCTTAACTATCCTTTTTATTTTTTTCAGCTAAGCAGCTTATACTGTTGAACACTAAGCATTCATCTCCAGTAAAAGTGTAATAACGTCACATTTTAAAAGTGGTATATCAGCATTCTTTTTTTAACATTAGCTTGGGAAGGGAGTAGCTGGTAATACTGTGTTTTGTGCTCAAGTCTTGTCTACATGCTGCTGTGTTGTAGCATTCATTTCCTTTTAATAAATAAACTCATTTATTCAGGTGTTGGTGATCTAGTTCTTGCTTGGAATGTGTGTGTGTGTGTGTGTGTGTGTGTGTGTGTGTGTGTGTGTGTGTGTGTGTGTCCAGAGTTGGGTAAAAAATTTTAATCCTTATCTTGCACTGGAAAACTTTACTTAAAAAAAGTGAGTAAATCCGTTGCCTTAAAAGCGACTTTACTTAAAAGTAAGTAAACCCATTGTAACTTGGAACTCTTAAGTTGATTAACATCATTTTTTAATTATGCAAATAGTCAATTTACATAAATATTTTAAGGCAAAGGCTTTACTTTTAAAGTAAATTTGACTAATCATTTTTACAGTATATCGCTAAATCTTCCTTTAAAAAAAGGCAAAAAATAACATAACACATTGGCTACTTTCACATTACTAGCACATTTAGACCCGTGTGTGTGTGTGTGTGTGGGTAATATCTGAATTATATAATATAATAATAACGTCCTCACGTTGTTTTTATTTAGAGGGCGGGGTTTGTTTTACCTGGTGTCTGGAACCATCCTTTGCCAGACTTAAACTTCGTTCTGCCAAGTGTGACTCCTGTAAAGCCGTCCATACTAAGGTAAACAAGCAAACACAAAATAGAAGCAGCTAGCTGTCGTTAGCATTTAAAAAAATGAAGCCATACCTGTGAGCTGTGTTGGTCTTTTCTATTGTTTTGGCAAACTTACATCTTCTAATTAACGTTACAAATGTTAAATGTTTTTTTACAACTTTTATTAATTTTATATGGTCACTATTAGTAATATTTAGGGGTTCAATTTTTGACCGGCAGTGCTGTTCGCAAATTGATGTGGTGCAGTGTGTAAGTTAAGCTGAAAGACACAAAAGATTAGTTCAAAAAAGAAAAAACATTTTGTTAACCTTTGTCTAAATGCTGCTTCTCCCTTTGTCAGACCAGGGTGCCTGGTTACTAGTGGTCCCCAACCTGATCAGAAATCATTAATTATTTCCGTTTTATTTACTGAGTCTGAACGAGCTTCTTTTTTAAAAAAAAAAAAAAATCTTTTATTTAAAAAAAATGACCGTATTGTTTTCAGGTATATTTCGATCACTTGAGTGCCAAAATTTCATCCACAAGCAGCAAAATGAGTAAGAATTACAGACGCCTTACAGAGGAAAAGGCAGTGAAGGGCATGATCTGCCAAGGAATAGACTCGCAACCCATTTGTCAACAAATCAGGTGAATCCAGCAAGTCTGTGCAAGAAGATCAACTGCTGGGCCCGAGTTTTTCAAAAAATGTAATCGGGTTCAAATTGGTCCAGATTTGGAAATTTTAGTCTTCCAGTTCCTGCTGCTGAAAAACATCCCCACAGCATGATGTTGCCATCACCATGCATCACTGTAGGGATGGTGTTAGCCTGGTGATGAGCGGTGCCTGGTTTTCTCTAAACGTAACGCCTGGCATTCACTCAAAGAGTTTAATTTTAGTCTCATCAGACCAGAGAATTTAGTTTCTTATGGTCTGAGAGTGCTTCAGATGCCTTTTGGCAAATTCCAGGCGGGGAGTGGCTTCAGTCTGGCCACTCTACCACACAGGCCTGATTGATGTATTGCTGCACAGATGGTTGTCCTTCTGTAAGATTCTCCTCTCTTCACAGAAGAACGCTGGAGCTCTAGAAAGAGTCCTGGTGGTTCCAAACATCTTGCACTTACTGGTAATGGAGGCCACCATGCTCATTGGAACTTTCAGAGCAGCAGAATTTTTTCTGTAACCTTCCCTAGCCTTGTGTCTCGATACAATCTTGTCTCGAAGGTCTACAGACAATTCCTTTGTCTTCATGCTTGGTTTGTGCTTTGACATGCACTGTCAACCCTGGGCCCTTATATTGACCTTATTCTAAAATGCGGAAGTGCGCCTGTTTTTGCGATTGTCTTAGAACTTCCGTTTCAGTCCGTTTCAAATGACAAGAAATAATAAACAGCAAAAAACGGTCAAACTACTTGCTCTACAAACAAATGTTTGCATGACTATACAGACCAAGTAGAATAATATAACAAGGAAATATCAGTTTGCAACATCAAACAGCGAAACGAGCAGTTTTTAATGTCTAAAAATGAATGGAAGTGAATGAGACCGGAAGTCTCGAGCCAAAAAGATTCAAATGGCTGCGCCCGCTCGTCTGCGGAGAATAAGGTCAATAGACAGATGTATGCTTTTTCAAATCATGTGCAATCAACTGAATTGACCAGAGGTGAACTCCAATGAAGCTGCTGAAGCATCTCAAGAATGATCAGTGGAAACAAAATGAACCTGAGCTCAATTTAGAGCTTCACGGTAAAGGCTGTCAATACTTACTGTTTGTACATGTGATTTTTTAGGGGTTTTATTTTCGAAACATTTGCAACTATTCAAAAACTCCTTTTTCACATCGTCATTATGGGGTATTGTGTATAGAATTTTAAGAAAATAAATGAGTTTAGTCTATTTTGGAATAAGGCTGTAACATAGAAAAATGTGGAAAAAGTGAAGCGCCATGAATACTTTCCGGATGCACTGTATCTCCCCTGAGCCTGGGTTGAAAAAATCCATTACATTTTAAAGAGCCCATATTATACATGAAATAGGGTCATATCTTGGTTGTAAGGGTCTCCAACAACAGTTTAATATGCATGCAAGGTCAAAAAACACTTTCGGGGTCTTATAATCTGCATTTATTTTTACCTAATTATCCCAGCGACTCCTGTATGAATCGTCCAGTGATTCATTTGTTCCCAAACCCCTCCTTAGCGCGAAGCTAATCTGCGCTGATTGGACCAATGACAGTCTGTTGCGATTGGTCGACTGCCTTCAGTCAGAGAGTGAAATGCCCAACAGCTAATCAGCAATATAAAAGTAATCACAGTTCATACACGCTCGATAGTGTAGGCGTGGATATTAGCTGCCAGTGGGTGAATATAAATACAGACTATGGACTTGAAAATACAGACAACTAACTATTTTATTGAGCAAAAACTCAAAAACAGTTGAGGGATCTCCTAGCTTCTCACTCTGCTCTTTTCACAGACACACACACGCATATTGCACACACACACACGCACTTAACCCTGCTCCGGACGACAACGCGCGCACACACACACACACACAAACACACACACCTCCGGACGACAGCGCGCGCACACACAGACACACACACTACTCGCCGTCCACGGAGCTCCGTTAACAAAGCAGCACGCGTCGCGTTTTTAACGTGACTTTGCACGCGATAAGAGAATATAGCCAGTTAACCTGATACAGTACACTCGGTTACAAGTAACAAATCACAACTAAATACATTTGCAAGCTAGAGTCAACGAGGCAACTTTAATCGCACGTACTTACACTTGAGAAATGGAGGAAGAAAAATCCATCCTGACGTCCATCAGTAAGTTACTCTTTATGACAACTCTGATGACAAACGCTGATGAAGTATTCTTTGTAGCATGTAGTTTCCAGTAGTTTCCAACTGCTTGGCTATAATGCTGAGGTTTCATCTTTGGGTAGAGACTCAATATATCCATCTGCAGTGTGACTTCAATCCACCGGCATGTTTGTGTTTGTTTGTGTGTGTGTGTGTGTGTGTGTGTCTCTGGGTTTCTGCGTCAGAGGGCGGGGCCTCAGGTTTGAAATCTCCCGGGTTTGCGCGTGCACGTGAATAACTTGGTTTCGTTTGTACGTCATGGCGAAACACCTAATGAATCGGTATCAAGGCGACTCGTTTGAAGCACTATGAGTCGACTCTTTTATAGATGAATCAACCGTTTTTTAAACACTGTATTCTTACAGATTTAAGCCTTAGCTGGATACTTCACTTCACTTAGAGCTGTGTTACACACTACATGGAGGGAATTTTCAAAAACCTATAATATGGGCTCTTTAAGCAATAAATGTTACATTATTTTTGAAAAACTCAAGTATATAAATTGGCCTTTAAAATTCATCTCCACTGCAGTTATACAATGAACTACAGTGCATAATTGTGGGGGAATCCTGCATCCTATAATTAAAACCGTCTGTTTCTCAGGATGAAATCTGGGAAATTTGGACTTTCCCCAGAATGGTGCTGACTCTTTCTTTTCTTGCTCTCTCTCTCTCTTGCTCTGTTTATTTCTGCTCCTGTTAGAGGGTCACTCGCCCCAGCCTCTCATTTTCCCTCATGATGGATCAGGAAAGCAAGGAGGGTTGTGTTTTGCTTAAAGGCTAATACCTAGTCAGTGATCTCGTGTTTGTGACTGGAGAGAACGGTGAGTGTGTTTTCTAGTTTCGTTTTATTCGTTAGATTAGATTAATAATTTATTACTGTAGGTAACTATTTTGGAATATGGACAGTGACTTTTTAAATGATTTTGAGTGAAATATATGCAGTTAAAGTCTAAATCATTAGCCCCCCTGTACATTTTTCCCTAATTTCTGTAATTTTTTTAAACATGTTTCTAAACATAATAGTTATTAACTAATTTCTATTAACTGATTTCTTTTATCTTTGTCATGATAACAGCACATAATATTTGATCAGATATTTTTCAAGACACTTCTATACAGCTTAAAGTGACATTTAAAGGCTTAACTAGGTTAATTAGGCGAGTTAGATTAATTAGGCAAGGCATTGTACAGTATACCAATGGTTTGTTGTGTAGGCAATCGAAACAAAATATTGCTTTAGGGGGCTAATAATATTGACATTAAAATGTTTTAAAAAAAATAAAAACTGCTTTTATTTAAACAAATACAAATGGTCACCCCTCCACATGACTGTACATACAGTACTGCTCTCCCACAGGCATCTGACTGGAGCTATACCTAATAAAAATAAACAGCAGTCAAATAGTGGACTCTGTATACAGGGGAACTTACTGACCTGAGTGCAAAAGCACCAACAAGAGGCGTTTTGTTCCTCACCTTGTGGATTTATGGATCTGAAACATGTATTATGAATGTGTTGTTTATTGTCAAGTAAGTTAATTTTAGCATTATGATATTACTATTACTATTATTAGTCACAATTATTCACCCTCCAGTGAAGTTTTATGTCTTTTTTTAAATATTTGACAAATGATGTTTAACAGAGCATAGAATTTTTCACAGTATTTCCTATAATTTTTTTTTTTTATCTCAAGAAAGACTTATTTGTTTTATTTTGGCTAGAATAAAGCATTTTTAAATTTTAATTTTCAGTGGGCAATATTATTAGCCTCCTTAAGCAACATATTTTTTAATATGCCTACAGAACAAACTATAATTTTCAACCCGGGCTCATTGTGAAAACGTAGCCCCGCGGACGTTTCTGCGGACCGCGCTTTACGTCCTGGGAGGTACGTATTCGAGCGTTTTTTGTTTTCGCGGATCCGTGAGAGGCCGCTGTGCGCGCTTTTTCGCGTCTCGGGCGCCTCTCGGGAGCACGCGCCGTTTGCGCCCGCGTTGTTCTTGCGCGAAAAGCCGCCGGATCGGCCGACTCGGCCGACTCGGCCGCCTTCTTCTTCCTCCTCCTCCTTCCCTAAACCCGAGCGACGGTTCGCAAAAGCCGTCTAGAAAAAACAAAAAAAGCAAAAGCCCTCGTCTTCGATTTCGATCGGGTTTTCGGATCCCGCCGCGTTCTCGCCCTTATTTTTCGGATTCTGTTTTTCGTCTTACCTGATTTCCGGAACCGCTGTTCCCCGGACTCGATCCCGGTCGTCGTCCCCGCGGCCGGCTCCTCCTGCTGTGAGCTAAGCGGACAAACTGGTTGCATCGGGAAAGCCCTCCACTCGGGAGGCGAGCCGTCGGCCGGCGAGCGCGAAGAGGGGGGGGCGGAGCGGCGCCACACCGCCCCGCAGCGTTCGATCAAAAAAAAAAACTAAACACGGCCTTACGTACCTCCGGCCACGTAAATGGCGGTCTCCAGAAATGTCCACGGGGCTACGTTTCCAGAATGAGCTTGGGTTGATAATTTTAAAATGACTTGCCTAATTACCCTATCTTGCATATTTAACCTAATTAAGCCTTTAAATGTCACTTTAAGCTGTATAGAAGTGTCTTGAAAAATATCTAGTCAAATATTATGTGCTGTCATCATGGCAAAAATAAAAGAAGTTAGTTATTAGAAATGAGTTATTAAAACTGTTATGACTTCAACTGTATGTGGATACACTTAACTAATCATTATACATTCTAATTATTCTTCTGCAATTATTAGTAAATATATAAAAAGTAATTTGTTACTTTAATGTTTTCACAGGAGTTGAAAGTCACACAACAAGATGTTCCAGATGAGTCAATACTTCGTTGTCTTTCTCCTGTTTGGAGCCGTGAATTCACAGGTAAACCCAGGTGAGAAAACTGCAGAATTATTAATAAAATTCCTATATCCAGATATCATATCCAATAATAAATAATATTTGTTAACGGCAATGTAACTTTAAACAAATCTGAAATAAAACGATGATGATATCCTCAAAACAGTTATTTATGCAACAGTGGTATGTAGAAAATGTCCATATTATAGACGGAACAGTAAAAATGGTCTTTTATTAAACATTTCTTTAAATGATGGATAAAGCACATCTAGCCGGTTGTTCTCCTCAGGCTGTGAAATTACCCAGATGCACATCATCCTGCTTATTACACAGCTACTTGCTCCAACACAATTAGTTGAGCATTTAACAATGTAATCTTTAATTAAATGTAAAGCTTGCAGAAGGATAAGGGATATGGCTGAATGGAGCATACACTAACCTATGTATATATTTATTCAGTCACAACAGGGCCCCAAACAGTCAAGAACAGCGGCATAACAGATAAGCATTAATACATGTACGAATATACTCACTTAACGGTTGAAATGGTTCATGGTACCCAGATAAACCTACGTTATTAGTATCAGCTGTTGTTATCTGGAATTATTACATGGCTGTCTGGAATACTTGATTCTGATTGGTCAATCGTGACCTTCCAAGGTGTGTTTTTTCTGAGATAACAACCGCTGAAACTAATAAAACAGGCTCCTAATGGTTCGTTAAATTATCTTGACCATCAGCAAAAACTTCCACAGGCTGTTTGGCACCATTATGTGACTAAATAATGCATAGGATAGTGTATGCTCTATTCAGTCATTTTCATTTCTGTCAGCTTTGCCTTTAATTAAAGACGAATAAACTATTACAGCTCAGAACGATGTTTTGTGTCTAATTTTAATTGGGTTAATAGTAACAAACGGGAAAGTACATCCAGGTGGTGGTTTTCACAGACTAAAGCCCATTATTATGCAATAACAACTGCCTGGATGTACCTTATTCCTTACTTATACACAGCTGTCTTGGACACTCAGTTCAGATTGGTCAGTCGCGACATTCCAAGGTGTGTTTTTCTCAGATAACAACCGCTGAAACTAATAAAACAGGCTCCTAATGGTACTTTGAATTATCTTGACCATCCGCGAAAACTTCCACAGCGCTGTTTTAGGCTGTTTGGCACCATTATGTGACTGAATAATGCGTAGGATAGTGTATGCTCCATTCAGTCATTTTCATTTCTGTCAGCTTTGCCTTTAATTAAAAAACGAATACACAATTACAGCTCAGACTGATGTTTTGTGTCTAATTGTAATAGGGTTAATAGTAACAAACAGGAAAGTACAACTAGGGGGTGGTTTTCACAGACTAAAGCCCATTATTATGCAATAACAACTGCCTGGATGTACCTTATTCCTTACTTATACACAGCTGTTTGGGACACTCAGTTCAGATTGGTCTGTCGCAACATTAGAAAGTATGTTATTCTGAGATAACAACTGCTGAAACCAATAAAACAGACTGCAAATGGTACTTTGAATTATCTTGACCATCAGCAAAAACTTCCACAGCGCTGTTTTAGACTGTTTGGCACCAATATGTGACTGAATAATGCGTAGGATAGTGTATGCTCCATTCAGTGATTTTCATTTCTTTCAACTTTGCCTTTAATTAAAGACAAATAAACTATTACAGCTCAGAACAATGGTTTGTGTGTAATTGTAATCAGGATAATAGTAATAAATGGGAAAATAAATATATATATATATATATATATATATATATATATATATATATATATATATATATATATATATATATATATATATATATATATAAGACAATACATTGAAGATACACTGTCAAACACGAAAAAAAAAACTACAAAATGCAATAAACATTTATCAAACAACCATGAGATCTAAAATCTAATTTTTTAATGAGCGTAACAAGCTCATTACAAAAGAAAAATATATTTGATTGCGTAATTTTTTACAGTACAAATCTCAGACATATTGTTCACATGCTTTACACATACTGTAGGATGCACCGCCGGACATCATAGTGTCTATTCAATCTGTTAAAATGAGATTGATATAAAGTATTCACTGTATGACCTGTATGAGTTTAAAAACATGTTGTTCTTTAATTTACTGCTGAGGGGCTGTTATATATGTGACCATGGTCTTATGTTGCTGGGGTATATTTTTAGCTATAGCCTAAAACACATTAGCCCCTTTCACACATACAGACCTTTCCGGAAAATTACCGGCAATTTTCCGGAAAGGTTGTTTGTGTGAACAGGCCCTTTTTGAAAATATCGGTAAATTCGTTCTGGCTATTTTCCGGAAAGAGAAGTTGTAACATTACCGGTAATTTGCCGGAATGCTGCGCTGTGTGAATGCAGAAGGAAGATTGCCGTAATAAGCGCGTGCACGTCTAGAACGGGCTGACGTGAGACGCCTGCTTTAGCCAATCAGAACAGTCAGACGCATTCACGTGCGCGCGCTTTATGAGAATAAAAGCCTTTGAATATTTTTTCCAGACACCTTTAGCTGCTAGATGTTAGACAGATAATGTTTCTATGTTCTTTCTTAATGCTGTGTAAATAATTATCGATAAAATGTTTATGATAATCCGTCGTTTGTTTACCTTCAAGCTTTGCGTGTGCCCGTGAGCGCCCATAGCGCCAGCACATACGCATATCATGAACATCTCGACATGCGAAAGTGTTTCCCTATGTTTTCATTAGAGTTGTACTCAATACTGATCCATCCGAAGAGTTTGTAATGTAGTCAAATGTTTACAAATACAAGCGCAGCCGTTTAGAGGTCATTTCTGGTTAATGATGTCAGAATTTACCGGCATTTTGCGATGGATGTGTGAATGCTCTTTTCCGGAAAAATTCCATAACGTCCTCGCCTGTGTGAACAGCGCTTTTTTGAACATACCGGTAAAGTAGTTCCGGAAATTTTCCGGATATTTACCGGTATCACTGTGTGAAAGGGGCTAATGTTTGGGTCAAAACTATCATTTTGTTTCTTTTATACCAAAACTCATTAGTACAGTATATTATTATGTACTTTATTAAGTAAATGTCCTACTGTAAATATATCCAATCCAGGCTCATTCTAAAAAAGTAGTCCCGCAGATGTTTCTAGAGACCGCGAATTATGTAGCCGGAGGTACGTATCGCTGCATTTCATTTTTTTAAGCGAACGCTACGGGGTGGTATGACACCTTTCCTTTTGGTGCTTACCGGCTGACCACTTACCTCTATGTGGAGGGCTTTCCCGCTGCAACCAGTTTGTCCAGTTAGCTCGTCGTGTACGTCGGCGAACTTGAGGCGCAGAGAGGAGTTAACCACAACGACGACCAGGTTAGAGTCCGGGGAAGAGCGATTTCACAAATCAGGAAAGACAAAAACAGAATCCTAAAAAAAAAATGAACGAGTGGGAGTGAATAACAGGGTCAGTCGATTGGCCGGTCGCCCCTTTAGTCATTCAGTCGGTCAACAGCGGCCTCTGGTGGGTTTACGCGAGAATAGCGCAGGCGCGAACGGCACTCGCAAGACACATTTAAGATGTAAAAAAAAGTGACTCGCAGATTCACGAAAACAAATCTGCAGTACGTTTCGTGGTCGCCAGAAACGGCCACGGGACTACGTTTTTAAAATGAGCCTGGGTTACATATATCAAAGGTTATTTTTTATTGTAACGCAAATTGTCAAGGACTTTATATAGACAACTTTAAAATTGATTTTCCCAATATATATATATATTTTTAAACCCTCAGATTCTGACTTTTAAATAGCTCTGCCTCAGCTAAATATTATCAATCATATTAATTTCAAACAGTTAGCACTTAGGATTGGTTTTGTAATCCAGAGTTACATATAGCCTTTATGAATGGTGTAAGTTTGAACGAAGCTTTTTTTCCTAGCTAATAATTTTTGGTCGTCAAAGTTCGGAGAATGTTAGTTTATAAATATAAAACAAAAACTGAACCTGTAAGAAAAATTTTAGGAACTGCCTCATAAAAGAACCAACAACTGGGAATCATGCATGAAAATAGTGTGACAGGGAGTCCGCATGATCTTAAAAAGTCTTGAATTTCAAAAAACAAATTTTAAGCCTTCAAAAGTCTTACATTTACTGAAATATTGTGTTGTAGGTCTTAAATCGTTTTAAACTGGTCTGGTCTTTTTTATTTGTAAAGACCATTTTTTTCTTTCTTTCATGTAAAGCTACTCAATTTAGTTTATTATAGTTTACTTATATTATATTATATTTAGTTTTAGTTTGTTTTAAACAGTTAATTAAAAAAAACAAAACAAAACAATGCTATGTGGGAAAAAAGTACGTCAACTAGTGTTAGCTTGTTTTGACATAATATTTAAAATATGTAGCATTTAGCTCTGTATACGTCTGAAATTTCATTCACAAAAGTCTTAAAATGCATTAAATCTGACTTAATGAAACCCACAGAAACCCTGTGTGAAAAATAATAATTGATAAATTCAGGATTTCTTAGCGGCTACTGTACAATCAGTTTAATTTCATTTTAGTTTATTTCCTATTTTCGTTCATTTCAAAATTTTTTGCTATTCCAAATGTTTTTAAAGAGAAACATCAACACAAAGCTCCATCGGTTCATAGTAAGCTCGTCCTGGCATGAACATAAAAGTGTCTGTGTTTTCTGCTGAGGCCTCACGGATGGGGTTGACTGGTATTTTGGGTGTTTGCTTACGGGGTGTGGATTCAGCCTGCAGAGGTTGTGTGTCCACCTTAATTCAGCACAATGCCACCTACTGTGTAGTGAATGCCGGTCTGGTGCGATGGAGACCTCACGCTGAAAACTCACCATACAGACAGATTATGGCTTCAGGGTCTTACAACTAGAGATTACCAAAGAACCCTTCAAAGATTTGGTCATCAAAAGCCAGCGGTGTGAAGTAACAAATTACAAATACTCAAACTACTGTGATTGAGTAGGTTTACTCAGGAATTGTACTTCACTAAGTAGTTTTAAAAATGTGTACATTCACTTTAACTTGAGTTCATTTAGAGTATTATTTAGTGAATTATTTAGTAATTATAATAAGTATTTAGTATTATTTAGCAATTATAAGTGTAGTCGCATGTTTACTTTGCATAACACTGATGAGAAGATGCCGAATGCCTACTGTTTGATGACTTAAATTGGCTTAAACTAAACCCCAGTGCATTACAGAATATTACGTTTTCACACTCACACACGCACTAATCGTTAGGGGGGAGTTAGGACGATTGTAAGGGGCCATACATTTAGGGGGTCCCCAGAGACATTATTAGGGGCCAGCGCTAACCCCATACCCAACACCCCTACCACCCCACCTCCAACTGCCCAACACCCCCCCCCCCCCCCCTTCACCTGTATCCGCGACCGTCCCCCACCCACCCCCGCTCTTCTCTTTAATCTGCGATAACCCCCTCTCTCTTAACTTTCATTTGCGTCACACAACGACCACAACCCCCTCCCCCCACTCTTCACTTTTATCTGCGTCACCCAACCATCCACAACTGGCCCAACTACCCACCCGGCAGAGTATGGTTGGATTCAGAGGGTTGTGCATGGTTGAAAATTTAAATTATACTAACAAAATAAATATTTATTTAAAACCATTTAATTCAGGTAATGCTAAAAAGAATATATTTTCATGAGAATTACATCTGAAACAAACAAATTACTTAAAATTAAAAAAACTTTACCTACAAAAATGAAAGATTGAAACCATTGTATTGTATTGAAACAATTCAATTCTTCAGTTTTTTTTTTTAGGACAACTTAATTGTTATACTGTCGGTTGAGACTGCATGTCTGTAAATATTCTGGCAGTAGCAAGTCTTGCCACTTGCTCAGCCATAATAATCAAAGCAGCATCGTAGCAAATTTATACCACCAAGACCAAACACAACATTGCCATATACATATTTGCCATACTAAATCTCTTCAAAAGTTAACAGAACCTTCCTTAATGTCGTAGCTGTATGTAGGTATCCTCTAGGAATGAATGGAGGTCAAATTCAGGATGAAGATATTTCTGCTTCCAGCCAATGGTCAGAGTCCACCGCCGCTCGATATGGCAGGTACCCCCAAAACAACACGGGCTTATTCTGAAAACGTAGTCCCACGGACGTTTCTCAAGACAGCAAATTATGTAGCTGGAGGTACGTGTGGGGCGGTATGACGCTGTTCCTTTATATGTGCTTACCAGCTGACCACTTACCTCCGTGTGGAGGGCTTTCCCACTGCGACCATTTTGTCCAGTTAGCTTGTCGTGTATGTCGGCAGACTTGAGACGCAGAGAGGAGTTGACGACGACAACGACCGGGTTCGAGTCCGGTAAAGAGCAGGGGTCCGTTCTTCGTACCTCGCTTAAATGATCTAAGATGATTTTGCCGATCCTGGATCTTTTAATCTTGAAAACTGATCTCTCGCTAATTTGGTTCTTCAAACAAGTTCGCGAATCAGATTAGAATGTCTGGATGAACTGATCTGAGATCGCTGCGTGTGTTGTGAAGGACTGATCTATCGATCCTCGAAATCATGATCAGCAATGCAACGATTGGCTGACGGCACAGCAGCGTAATGACATCATCTGATTAATATTCAATTATCCATGTGAGCAAAATTACATCAAATTAGCAGTAAACTGTTTGTTACGTATATGACACGCAATAACTTTCCACATTTGTTGTGAGCTGCAGGCTTTACACTTTCATGTGTCAAGAGTATTCATCATGTATTTCAATGCAAATCAATGTATTTAGTTCTACCTTTAGAAAATAATTTCTTTATTATAGTAGCCGTTTTTTTAAGCGCTGTATGGAATAACTGGATGTTTACAAAAGCATTTTGATATTGGTAAAGGCGTCTGCAACTATTGTGAAGCATCAAATCACTGTCATGACTGCATTAATGTATTATTTCTTTTTTTTTTAAAAGTCACATATTCTGAATTTCTATTATTATACACAAATTGTATAAAGCGATCTAAAAAGTTCATATCAATACATTTTCTCTTTGTACTTTCATTTCGAGGGTGCAGATTGCATAAGTTTTGTTAATATAACTTTATTTTATTAATAACTATAACTTTATATATATAGTTAAATTTTTTTTTACTATTTTCCCAAGTGTATATAACTACTACTCTAAGAAAATATCATAATTCGGTACTTTCTCTATTATCTTTGCTTGAACTGAGCCGATCTAATCCTGTTTATATGAATTGAACCTGCTCCCGATCAGGTTTGAGCTAGCAGAACTGTTGCTATGACAACAACTCTCAGATCAGCTTTGAAGAACGAAACGATCCTGGATCATGTCAAATCGTCAATATCCAAATCCAGCTAACAGAGTAATCCACGTACGAAGAACGGACCCCTGTTCCTGAAATCAGAAAAGACAAAAACAGAGTCCAAAAAATAAAATTAACGAGTGAACCACAGGGTGAGAATGTGGTCAAATCCAAAAACGTGGTCAAATCAGAGGAGGGTTTTTCTTTTTCTGGACGGCTTTTGTAAGCCTTCGGCTGGGTTTAGGGAAGTGAGCGGGCGGGCGGGTCAATCTGTAAAATTGGTTGGGTTTAGGGTAGGAGGAGGGTGGGTCAGTCGATAGGCCGGTTGCCCAGTCAATCATTCAGTCGGTCAGCAGCGACCTCTGGTAGGTTCACGTGAGAACATCGCAGGTGCGAATGCCACTCGCAAGAGGCATTTGAGATGCGAAAAAGTGCACACAGCGGCCTCTCGTGGGTTCGCGAAAACAAAAACTGCAAAAATACGTACCTCCCGGCACATATTTTGCAGTCTCCAGATACGTCTGCGGGACTACGTTTTCAGAATGGGCCTGGGTTGTCCAACACTTTGGTCACACAATTACAAAAATATTTATCATAATACATCTTATTTTGTTTTCCATCAAAACTTTATTCCAGATTGGATTTTGATGATGGAGATGGTGCGTGGTGTCCGGATGTCATGGCTGAAGCGCACAGTCTGAAGGAGTTTCTGCAGATTGACCTCCGCACTCTGCATTTTGTCACTTTGGTTGGCACACAGGGACGTCATGCAGACGGGGTGGGCAATGAATTTGCCCAGAGATACAGGATTAAATACAGCCGGGACGGCACTCGATGGGTCTCCTGGCGGGACCGGCAAGGTCGACAGGTGAGCTGGCTTTGTTGCAGGTTTTCTCTGAGCTCTACGTATGATATTGGCAAAGAAAAATAGACATTAAAAAGTCATCATTTTGAAGTAAAAGGATTTCTATCTTGTACCAGCTCTGCTCCTTTGTACCAGCTTGACCAGCCTGGTTTAAGCTGGACATAGCTGGTTTTGGCTGGGCTCCCAGCCTGGCTTGGCTGGTCAAGCTGGTTTTAGCTGGATTTAGCTGGTCATTTTCCAGCCTGACCAGCTAAAACCAGGCTGGAAATGGCTGGAAACCAGCCTGGAAGTGGCCAAAACCCCTCTAAAACCAGCCTGGTCGACCAGCTAAAACCAGCCAACCAGCCCAGGCTGGTTTAAGCTGGATTTTTCAGCAGGGGAGGTCGAGCTCCAGGAACAGGGTTGAGCACCACTGGTATAAAGGATGATATGATGGTGAGTAAGTAATGACATTGATTTTAAATTGCACAGATGAATGTTTATTCATTCATTCGTTCATTTTCTTTTCAGCTTAGTCCCTTAATTAATCAGGGGTCACCACAGTGAATGAACCACCAACTTATCCAGCATTGTTTTTACGCAGTGGATCCCTTTCAGCCGCAACCAAACACAGGGAAATGGATGTTTATTGTGAAAATTATTGTCACGGTCTGTGTATTCTCATCATTCTTCTTCTTTTTAGATCATTGAAGGAAACAGTAACGCCTATGACATCGTGCTTAAGGACCTGGAGCCTCCTATTATTGCTCGTTTTGTGCGCTTCATGCCTGTGACTGACCCGTCTATGATTGTGTGTATGAGGGTGGAGCTCTACGGCTGTGAATGGCTCGGTAAACTCTTCTTTTTCTACTTTGTGTATTTACTCAAATGCTTTCCTTGCATTAATTAACCTCAAAAGAAAAATACAGGTTTGTAAACCTTCTAAAAACAAAAACACGTAACGTAAACCAGCTTGTAAGTGCTGTAAAATTGTATTTTGGGCTAAACGGTAATACATTCATATAATGTTAGGCTCTGCTACTATTAGGGTTACACAATATTGGAAAAATCTGACATTGTGATATTTTGTTTTGCCGTGATATATATTGCGATATGAATATCATTTCACAAGTTGATTTGAATAGCTCTATTTGGTACAATTTCATAAATTTAGATCAACTGGGACGAACAAGTCTTCTTCCATGCAGTGCATCTGCATAAAATAGAATACATTACAAGCAATAAATAAATAAATATACTGCTTTATGTTTTTTAAACAGTTTTCAAAAACAGAAATTGAACAATTGAATGTAAAATAACAGTCATCATTGTATAAATAATTTTAAAATGATCATCTTTATCTTTTAATCTTCACTAAATCATCTTATCCTGCTGTGTGACTACTGCAGATACACACATTGTGATATCAATGCTTAAACTATTTATTGTTTAGCCCTAGTTATTTTATTTTCAGCATGGAATTAAATGTCACTGAAAAATGGCAATCAAACTCACTTTAGAAATAGGTGTGGTCACATGACATGAAAACTGCTGGTACAAAGTAAAAATACAACTGTAAAAAGAAAAATGATGCTTTTAAACATTTTCCTGGCCAGAATTGAATAAAACATGTTGAAAAGCCCCTATTATACATTAAAAAGGGTCATATTTTGAGGGTCTACGACAACAGGCTGATATGCATGTATAACTCCTACACCATCCAACCCGCTACTAGCTGGTTTCCAACCGCTGATCTTCCGCATGGGAGTCGATTGCTCTACCAAGGAGGCTAAAGACCATGGCCTCTAGTGATTCTCGCTAGAGCACATTTAGAGGTCAGAGGAGTGAGGTTTACCTGCACAGCACTCACTAGCTGGCCTCCGTTACACATGCAAGGTCAAAAAACACTTTCATTGTCTTATAATCTGCATTTATTTTTACCTAATAATCCCAACGACTCCCATATGATTTGTTCAGTGATTCATTTGTTCCCATACCCCTCCTTAGCATGATGCTAATCTGCACTGATTAGACCGATGACAGTCTGAAATGAGTGAAATGCCCACCACGGCTTATCAACAATATTGAAGTAGTCAGAGTGCAGAGTGTATGTGTGAGCATACCTGCCAACACGCCTATTTTTCCTGGGAGTCTCCCGTACTTCAGACCCATCTCCCGCCACCCTCCCATTTTGTTTTTTATCCCGGAAAACTCACGTAATTACATACATTTCATATTTCTCATCTTTGATGCAGATGGCCTTGTGTCCTACAGCGCCCCTGCTGGCCAACAGATGACTTTCAGAGGCCAGCAGATCTACTTAAATGACACCGTGTATGACGGAGCCGTTAGTTCCAGGTACAACATAACACTTAGTCAGGCGAACGCTGTTATATCTTTGCTCAAGTGTAATTATTTGTTTACTTTTCCAGCATGGCAGAAGGTCTCGGGCAGCTGACTGACGGCAGCTGGGGTTTGGACGACTTCACTAAAAGTCAGGTGTATGGAGTCTGGCCTGGCTATGACTATGTGGGCTGGACGAATGCTAGTTTACCTGGTGGCTCGGTGGAGATGACCTTTGAGTTTGACCGGGTCCGAAACTTCACCTCAATGAAGGTTTGTCTACTGAAATACATCTGCATCAACATGGCTATTGTGACAGAAGCGTTCAGCATAGTTATACTGACACGTGTATGATACGTGTTACAGTAATACTTTGAGGTAAATTGTAGTGTAACGTTATCTAATTATTAGGATAGTTCATCAAAAACTCATTTATTCACTCTTTACTTGTTCCAAATGGTTTGATTTGCGTTTAATCTGTTGAACATAAACAAAGATGCTTTAAACAAACCTGTAACCATTGACTTCCATAGTATTTGTGTTTTCTACTTCTGAAGTCTTTGGTTACATGTTTCCAGCTTTTTTCAGAATATCTTTTTTTGTGTTCAACAGAATTAAGAAACTCTTTGGGCCCTATCATACACCCGGCGCAATGCGGCGCAACGCAATAGTTGTTTGCTAGTTTCAACTCAGTGTAAGAGTTGTTTTGACATTTCGCGCCACGTGGTTTAAATTGCAAATGCATTTGCGCTCATATGTGTGCCCATAGGCGTTCTGATCTAAAAAAGCAGGCGTGTTTTGGCGCGTTGCTCTTTTGAGAAACTAAAATACACTGTTCAATAGACCAGAACAAAGCCGGTGTAACGTGGAGACTGACACGGAGGGATCCATTTTGCAGTATTTATTAGACACAGTTCAAACAAACATCCAACACGCACTAAAGTGCGAACTCACATCAACAGCAATAAAGATCGTGGGGCTGGCGGCTGACAGACACAGTGATTTACCAGGCATAGATCAGTGGCAGGCTGCGTGGTTCAGAGTCCTTATAACAAGCGTGGGTCGAGGGCAGGTAGCATGGTTCAGAGTCCGTGTAACAAACGAGGGTCGAGGGCAGGCAGAAGGCAACTCAGAGTCAGAAACAGTCCAGGGTAATGCACAGAAGATCAGGCAGGGACTAGCGCTCAGAAATGTTGGCCGTGGCTGAACAAGACTTCGCGCTGGACTGTGGTTTGAGTGTGGCTTATATAGGGAGCGTGGGTCATTACCGGGATTCAAATCAGGTGTGTGCACAATCAGTCTATGTGGATGATGTCATGCTAGAAGTCCGGGGATGGCGGCCTCTTCTGGCCAGCGAGGGGAATGACTGGGACCGAGTTGGTGACAGCCGGTCTATTGTCCAGCGCAGAGCACGTTAGTTGTGCGCCTCGCTTAAACACTGCTTAATACACACAAGATGTAGAGCAATAAGCAAATATCTTTACATATGAAAAATAATTAAAATATTAAGGATATATAGGATATAATAAGGATATATATATAGGATATAAATATAAAGGATTAAAATATTACAAAACCTATTTTTTTTTAGCCTACATAAATTTAAAAACCACTGCCTTCATGCCTTCATCTCAGAAGGCTTTTTTAGTTCATTCAATTTGCTTTTATATAATGTTATGTTTATTATTATTAATTATTATATCCATATTTATATTTGTTTTATTAAAAACAGGCTTAGATTTGTCAAGCTTAGATTGTCAGGTATTAGACCATATGGGGCACAGCATGTGTATTAGGATATAACTCAGGTTTTTGACCACACTTCGTTATTACTGTTCATTTATTCATTTGCTGGAAATTAGAACTGAATTTAGAAATAGTTTTGAAACAAATATTTGCGCTTAACAAAGAAAATTAATTATTTATAGACTAATTGATGTCTGTGCGTAAAGGTTTCCCTATCCACGAGAGCGAAAGTGAAAGTTAATAATTTATCTCTCATTTTCGCGCTGTAGATACTCTGTTTAACTGTTTTCGTGCTAGTGAAATGCTGAGTTTTACCACTTCCACTTACTTTACAACATGTATAGTAAATGTGCCATGGTGCACGTAACTGACTCTTAAAGGTAATGGGAGATGAGACTCTGATTGGTTTATTCTCAAAACACACCTATAACTCATTAAGAAAATAAACTCAACCCTTTAAGACCGTGCGCCACGATGCAAAGCAGATTTTCCCATCCTTATATTAGCAAAAATGCGTTCTGACACACCCTGAAAGCGTTTGCGCCCTGCGCTTTGCTCTTTGCGCATGGACCGTCAAAACAGAGCCCATAAGCAAATTGTGAATTTTTTTTTGTAAATCTCTTAATATTTAATATTAATAACTATTATCCATAAAATAAAACAATACAAAGTTAATACTGCTACATCACCTTCGCAATCCAGTCACTGCTAGTAGTATTTTTTAATGTACTAGCATACTAAAATGCAAGTAAAGTACCTGGTTTTGAATTTCTTCTGTAGGGTGTTATTTGGCACATCATTTAAAGTTAAAGAGCCCCTATTATACATGAAATATGGTCATATTTTGGTTGTAAGGGTCTCCACCAACAGTCTAATATGAATCTAAGGTCAAAAAACACTTTCATGGTCTTATAATATGCATTTGTTCCCAAACCCCTCCTTGGCGCAAAGCTAATCTGCGCTGATTGGACCGATGACAGCCTGTTGCGATTGGTCGACACTGACAACGTTCAGCTCAAGACAGAGTGATATGCCCAGCACAGCTTATATACAATATAGTAGTCAGAGTGCATAGTGTAATGTGTGAGCATACCTGCCAACACTCCCTCTTGTTTGTTTTTTATCCCGGAAAACTCCCGTTATTTCAACCACCCACCCACCCGAAACACGCTTCATAGTAGTTCCTAACACCATAGAACACAGTACCCGGTTCTCACCAGTGTTATCATGCAGATGTTAAAATTTTATTCCATTATAATAAACTCAACATTGCATATCCGGAGATGTGACTTTTGCAGATGCATACATTGCAGTATCGATGCTGAAACTATATTGTGCAGCCCTAACTTCAATATAGGTTAGTTGTCTTCTCTATCCTTGGCCAAAAGCTTGCTCTCACATTGTTAGTGCTATGAAAGCATTATCAAAATCAATTAACATAGATATAAAAAACAAATTTAAACTAAATTGATTGTTGCATGTTCTGTGATATGCTGTAATACATTTGAACGTCATTGTTTTTATTATTCACCATGTACATGTAGACATTACAACTTACATGAATCAACAGGTCATGAAAATTTACTTGAAAGTCTTGGAAAAATTTTGGAAAAGTCATGGATTTTTAGTATTAAAAATGTGTATGAACCTTGTTAGAATAAACAATACTTGTTCATAGTTCAAAGTTTACTAAATCCTTATTAAAATCTAAAGATGTGCTTGTTAGCATTAGTTAATGGGCTGTAACTTAAAATAACAATCAACAACTTCATTTTCTTTAAAGTCCGCGTGAAATCAAAATGTACAATGTTTATTTTGTTGGCTCACATTGTTATTCTTGAGGTGAATAATTAATCCATGCAAGTTATTCCACTGGAAAAAAAATGTTTTGGTAATCTTTAATCCAAGTCTGATCTTTTGCTTCCGCCTTTGGAGTGGTGGTCCTTCAATTGACAACTTGAGGACTTCCATAGAAACTGTATATGTATAATTTCAACCATGCCACTCGTACAGTTTGCTACAAGCCCTGCTCAATATTCAGTTTCAGTTGGAAATACATCAACATTTATTCATTCATTTATTCACAGCGGAATGAACCACCAACTTATCTAGCATTTGTTTTACGCAGCGGATGCCCTTCCAGCTGCAACCCACCACTGGGAAACACCCATACACTCTTGCATTCACACACGTACACTACCAATTTATTTATTCAATTCACCTATGCCGCATGTCTTTGGACTGTGGGGGAAACCTGAGCACCTGGAGGAAACCCACACCAACATGGGGAGAACATGCAAACTCCATACAGAAATGCCAACTGTCCCAGCCGGGGCTCAAACCAGTGACCTTCTTGCTGTTAAGGTGATCGTGCAACCCACTGCACCACTGGGACGCCCAGTAAATCAAAAAACTGTAAATTAATTGTAAATTGTAAATGAAAAAATGTCTCAGCAACTTTCGGTACATGCCGACTTTAACATTTAAAGATGATTAAATTACATGATTGTTCATTATTTTTTGAATGCTCGTAAATAAATAAACTAATGGAACCTTACAACTTTACCTAATGTTTCCAGTGATAGCATATGGAAGCTTGCTAAGCATAGGTAAAATGTTAGCATCCTCATTATTTTGCATCGAATAGATAAACCTTCTGGTTCAACAGGTCCACTGTAACAACATGTACGCATGGGGAGTGAAGATGTTCCGACAGGCCGTGTGTTCCTTCCGTTCGGATGCAGACTGGGAGCCCAATCCTGTGTTTTTCAAGCCGAAAGCAGACAGCATCAGTCCAAGTGCTCGCTTTATCACTGTTGCTCTTGGCAACCGCATGGCCAGCGCAATCAGGTGCCGTTTTGCGTTCAGTGACATCTGGATGATGTTCAGCGAAATTGCTTTCCAGTCAGGTAATAGTGGCTCAATTACTGCACGCTCTTTCTTTGCACGTACGTGGTTGGTTTTAGCATATTAATAGCCATTTAATTAATTCAAAATGCCTTTCACCGAATTAATTCACTTTTCAGATACAGCAGTGTACAACACCTCTCTTGTACCTCGCAAACGTAACCAAGCTCCAGGTATTTACCATGTAAACATTGAATTGTACATAATGCACAGTGCTGTCGTGTTGCGCTTTTGGTTTTCGTGTTTGTATTATGAATGCACAGTTAACAGCACCACCTAGTGTTCATTACCACCAATGACCATATACGGTGCTTAGAGTAAATGAGTACCCCCTCTTTTGAAAATTAATGTTTATCCATTTCTCAGTGACTGTAGCAGCCAATAGTTTTGATATATATATATATATATATATATATATATATATATATGCACACAGTTGAAACCAGAAGTTTACATACACTGTATAAAAAGGCATGCATAACCATTTAAAAAAAGCCAGATGTTGATGTGACTAAACTTTTTCTCTTTTAGGTAAGTTAGGATTATCACATTTGTTTCTGTTAAGCTTAATAGCAGAAATAAGGAGAAATCATCGACTTTTCTTGAAAGTCAAGTTTACATACAATAAGATTTTTCTGCCTCTGAAAAGCTCAGATGATGGTGTCAAGGTTTTGGAAGTTTCTGATTGGCTAATTAATTTAAGGAAAAGCACTTGTTCTCAACAATCCGGAATTTCTCTCTTCTGATGAACAGAAAACATATTTTAAAAATGCTTGAAACAAGTAGTCTTTATTTCCATATTGTTTTCTTACTATGGACATCAGTGGCTTCCAGTATTCAACATTTTTCAAAATATCTTCTTTTGTGTTTAGCGGAATAATAAAACCTCATAAACGGTTGGAAACACGCGAAGAAGAGTAAATTATGAGTAGATTTTTTATTTTTGGGTGAACTATCCCCTTAATAAATAAATTTTCATTGATTCATTTTCTTTTCAGTTTAGTCCCTTTATTAATCTGGGGTCGCCACAGCGGAGTGAACCGCCAACTTATCCAGCATATGTTTTACACAGCGGACCCATCACTAGGAAACATCCATACACACACATTCACACTCATACACTATGGACAATTTAGCCTACCCAATTCACCTGTACTGCATGTCTTTGGACTGTGGGGGAAACCGGAGCACCCGGAGGAAACCAGCGCGAACGCAGGGAGAACATGCAAACTCCACACAAACGCCAACTGACCCAGCCGAGGCTCTAACCAGCGACCTTCTTACTGTGAGGTGACAGCACTACCTACTGCGCCACTATAATTATTTTTATTTATTTTATTTATTCATTATTTTACATAACAAGGGACATTGTACATTAATCAACAATTCCCAATAACTTATATGTACTCAAATTAGCCCAAGACTAGATTTAATTGGTGGTCCCTTTGCCAAATGTTAAATCCCGATACCAATAAAAATACAAATTCAAACTTTAAGCAATCATGTAATGCAGTATAATATGATGCAGCAATGTGGTAAAATGCCAATAAATGGATGCCGTTTGACACAAAATGTCTATTTCTTATTTTCTGAACGATTAAATTGTGTTTTTTTTTTTATATCAGTGGATGATCCCACCCACAAAATCGATGACAGCAGTACAAGGATCCTCATCGGCTGTTTGGTGGCCATTATTGCCATTCTGTTGGCCATCATAATCATCATACTATGGCGACAGGTCTGGCAGAAGATGATTGAGAAGGTAAGATATTTTTGTTTAGGATTTGCTCAAGTAAAATGTAGAAGATTTGTCAGTCTTCACTACATTTTACTGCAGCAAACAATAGTATTAAAGAAATAATTCATTCAAAAATTCTGTCATTTACTCACCCTTTACTCGTTTCAAACCCTTACGAGCTTCCTGCTTTGACTGAACACAAAAGCAGATATTTTGAAGAAAGTTGGAAACCTGTAACCATTGACTTCCATAACGTTTGCATGAAGGTTAATGGTTTCAGGATTTCAGCTTTCTCCAAAATAACTTCCTTTTTGCTCAACAGAAGAAACTCATAAAGGTTTGAAACCACTTGAGGGAGAGTAATAGTGAGTACATTTTCATTTTTAGGGGATCATCTTGTAAATAGCCTACTGTAGTATTTTAATTGATACTACAGTAAACTACTACATGTAACTAAAACTGTGAACTAGTACCGTAAATAATAAGTAATACTGTCTCCTATTGTAGTATTTAGTATAGTATTTAGCTTGTTTAAGTGTTCCTTGTTAATGTATGTGTCTCATACTATAGAAAGAACTGTAGTGAACTGATAAACAGTATTTTAAAAGCACTCAAATTATTTTGCTGCTTGTTCAAACAACTTATTTAAAATTAGCATTTTAATTTATTTGTTAAATCCACCTAATTTGTTAAGTTAACTTAAATGATAACAATTGAAAGCAGAAGTTTACATACACTGTATAAAAAGGCATGCACAACCATTTGTTTTTTAAAAAAAGTCAGATGTTAATGTGACTAAACTTTTTCTCTTTTAAGTAAGTTAGGATTATCACATTTGTTTCTGTTAAGCTTAATAGCAGAATAATGAGAAATTGTTATAACGTCTCTTGAAAGTCAAGTTTACATACAATAAGATTATTCTGCCTCTGAAAAAGCTCAGATGATGGTGTCAAGGTTTTGGGAGTTTCTGATTGGCTAATTGACAACATTTTAATTGGAGTTGGAGTTAATTGGAGGCACCACTGCAGAATAGTATTTAAGGAAAACCTCAAACACACGGCTTCCCTGTATGACAACATGGGAAAATCAACAAGCCAGAATCAACAAAAAAAAAGCCAAATTATATTACAATTTGCTAAATTACACTGGGAAAAATTATTGGAGACATGTCCTGCGGTCTGATTAAACTAAGATTGAATTGTTTAGCCATACAATGTGTTACATTTGGTGGACAAAGGGGAAAGCTTACAAGCCTAGGAACACCATCCCAACTGTGAGGTATGGGGGCGGCAGCATCATGTTGTGGGACTGTTTTGCTGCAGGAGGGACTGGTCCACTTCACAGCATAGATGGCATCATGAAGAAAGAATTATGTAGAAATACTGAAGCAACATCTCAAGACATCAGCCAGAAAATTAAAACGTGGCCACAAATGGGTCTTCCGAACAGACCATGACCCTAAGCATACTGCCAAATTAGTTAAAATGTGCTTTAAGGACAACAGAGTGAATGTTTTAGAGCGGCCATCACAAAGCCCTGATCTCAATCCTATAGAAAATTTGTGGGCAGAGTTAAAAAAGCTTGTGCGAGCAAGACAGCCAATCTGACTCAGTTACACCAATTCTGTCAGGAGGAATGGGCCAAAATTCCTGCAAACTATTGTGAGAAGCTTGTGGAAGGATACCCAAAACAGCTGACCAAAGTTTTACAGTTTAAAAGCAAAGCTAAATACCAAGGAAATGAATGTCAACTTTTGACTGTCTAGAAATTAATAAAAACTTCTCAAAAAAAAAAAAAAATCTCATTATTTTGGCATTTAGCAAGTATAAATCATTTAGGTAATCCTAATGGACCTAAAATAGTAAACGTTATTATGATTTACCATCAGACATTTAAAAAAAATGGTTATGTTCCTTTTTTTTAGAGTGTATGTAAACTTCTGGTTTCAACTGTGTGTGTTGGCATAACATGAATGGTGTGGAATCCTGCATTTCTTACAGTGAGGTTTACTACAGTATATGGAAAACAGTTGCTAATGTGAATAGTATGTCTGTGTACATTCTAATGTATAGAAAGGATTTAAAATAATTGCTGTAAAACGTAAATATCAAATCCACCAAAACATTGCTTTAAAGGTTATAAGGCTATGTAAAAATTCCCCTGAAAAGCCATATATTTTCTTAAAGGCACACCACAAACATAAAATATAATATATTTAAAGAAGATTTACTACAGTAATTAATTTGGTATTTTGTTTATTTCGTTTTACAACACCATTGCAATTTTACAGTACCTTTACTATTGTAATGTTCAAAAACACTGCAGTTTTTACTACAGGAAATGTACTAGATGTTTTGGTAACACTTTAGTTTAAGTAACAATTCACGCCATTAACTGCTGGCTTATTAAATGCCTATTGTTAAGATATTAATTAGCTATAAAGTATGATCTTATTCTATATCCCTAATCCTAGCAAAAACCTAAACCCAACTAATACCTTACTAACTATTCATTATTGTGCTAAAAGTCTTAGTTAATGGTGTGTTAATAACATGAATTGTATGTTAAAATAAAGTGTGACTGATGTTTTATATCAAATGTACTGTAAAATACTTTGGTATTTTTTCATATATTGGTAGTATAATATGTTCAAATAAAAAAAATCAAAATATTACCCTTAAACTAGCTGAAATGTGCATTTTTATGTGTTTAATTGCAGATAAAGCACATTTTTAGGGGTTCGTTCGTTAAATTAATTGTGCCTTCAGCTTTCTGTTATTATTGTGATGTTTATTTACATTGATGTTTTGTTGTAGGCCTCTCGGCGTATGCTGGACGATGAGCTGGCCGTGCGTCTGTCTGTTCAGAGAGAGGCGTTTGTCCACCGCAGCTCCTCTCTGTCCAGCGACGTCGAATCCACTTCCACATACGAGCGCATTTTCCCATTGGGATCTGACTATCAGGAGCCTTCACAACTTTTACGCAAGCTACCAGAATTCCAGGCTATGGAAAACCTTGGTTAGAGCTGTTCAGTATCATGATTCTAACACTGTAAATTATGATATTACATTCATTTTTTATGCACCCCGATGTCTTTTAATTTTATTTTTAATGTAAAAGAAGGTATAAAAGACTTAAAAATGTACTTTTGGTGCTTGTTCAAATTACTTACTTAAAATGAGTTGTAAGAAAAAAATACTTTCTGGGTTTTATGGGACAACCTAATTGTTGTAAGTTCAATCCACTTAAAATTGTAAAAACAATTAAGTTGGGAAGTAATTGTGTGGAACCCAGCATTTTTAGGTGTAGTGACTTGTGGTAAAATATCCATAAAATTGCTTAGTTTTTATGAGCAGATTAAAGTGTCGAAGAATCCTGAAAAAAAAATCATATTTTTAATTATTATATTATATTTAAAGTTATTAGTAAATAATACATTTATGGTAACTAATAGTGGTGTAACGGATCACAAATCTCAGTTCGGAGTACACAGTTCAGAGTTTTTATCTATTACAATAACATATTTTTAAAAAATATAAAAAATAAAATGAAGAAATAACCAGCTGAATAAAAACAAATAGTAAAATATTCAGTACTGTGAAAAATTCATGGTTCTACTACTGTTGCTGATAAAACTAAATGTAGAAATCTAACATAATAATTTGTTTAATATGTTTTTTTTATCTCATTTGCAATAAATGATTCAGTTAATCACTCATTAAACTTCGTTTCATTGTTAGATTTATAATTTTTGAATTACTCAGTGGCATATTTTTGATGGGTGGTTGTCACCACCTATTGGTTAAATAATGTAATTGCTGCCTACAACTTTTATTTTTGAGCGTCAAGTTAAATGCATATGACCATGATTTTAATCTTTACCATAAACATCTGTGGTTATATCTAAACTGTTATTCCATTACTTCTGTGTTATTTAACTGTTTGTAACTAACTCAAAAGACTAAAGACTGAATCTTGATTTTTGCATTTTTCAAACACAGATCTGAATGCAGCGATTCGAATGATTAATAAACGTTTTCAAATCACCTTCATTTATAATTTAGGTTGCGTGGGTGTTGAGATCCTGATCTTTTAATGATTAAACGTGCAGCTGAATTACAGTGAATGCATTAATGCAGGCTAAACAAGTAGTAACAGAAAGCACCTTTAATAACCTAAGAAACCCACCACATCCCGAATAACCCACCACAACTTCTTCAATAATCATTATATTTTACAGAAAAGCCTAAATGCTTTCAGACATGTGATTTGAATGACGCGGGATGCCAACTCTCTGCGATCGTTACAAATTTAGGATTAATCTACATGTAAAAAAACTGCATAAGTCTGTGGGTCACATGTGTTACGAAGCATGGGTTGTGATCCGTTACACCCACAGCAACTAATAACCTCAACTTTTCCGGATTTTATTGTAATGCTGTAAAATTTTGTAAGTCTGCTTTGAAACAATAATTATTGTGATAAACGCTATACAAATAAACGTATAGTTCATAATTGAAGATAAAAATAAATAAATAAATTAGCCAAAACATTAGTTGAATTTTTACTTTTCTATTCTATTTTTTCAGACTTCCCATAATGTCTTAATTTAACCTAGACAATAATATTAGTTGACTTTTGTTTATTGGCGCTTTTAGTATAATACATTTAAAACATTGCTCACCAAACCTGTTCCTAGAGGGCCGGTGTACTGCAGATTTAAAGGGCCATGAAACCCACTTGTTTCAGCAGGGTGTTTTCACACCTCTACTTTGGAAAAAGTCTGAAATGTCGGAGGAACTAAAGTGAGATGGTGTAGGAGTGTCTATTTGGGCACGCGCGAGTTTCAGAGTCAAAACACACACACACAAACACACACACGGAAGCAAGTGATGGTGTTTACATGGACATCTGTAGTCGAATTATTTGCCAAATTATTAAATGGTGGACTTTAACTGCAGTTTGGCTCTTTCAATTAGGGAATTCATTCTTGCCCCTCGCGACAAACGAGATATTTGATTCGAGAAATTGCTCTAAGTGTGAATTTTTTATGCAATGTTTGATACCACACGGCGAATGAGAGAAAAAAACCTCAGCATTTCCCGGAAACTTAGATGCACACGGCAGGTAGTGTCAGAAAGCCGCGTGTGTTATTCCGGTCACAAAATGCGGTGAAAATCCTACACGAGGTTATAGTTTGGTTGTGGTGCTAACATGTTTACACTCGGTGCAATAGTTAACTTAGTTCGATACGAACAAACTGAATAAACAAAGAGCACTGGTCACTCACTTACCAAATCTGTAGAGACAGGACAATCACCAGCAACTAGAGCCACGTCTTTATAATAGAAGACTTTAAGTGAATCCGGATCTCAGCATTTGCAGATGAGAACAGCTCTCAGGTAAATAATGTTCCTCCTTAGACACGTAAGTTATTGTTGTCGAGCGTCGCGTACACTGTAATCCACGCGTGACTCCAGCTGAGCTCTCACAGAGAGAAAATGAAAACAAAACTTAACTGCAGCAAACTACAAAAGCAACACTTCACGCTTGTTTTGCCAATACAAAGTGGTGTCTCTGTCGTCTAAACACTGTGACAGTAATGAATATTAATGAAGTTGCACAATAGAGTGCGCTGATTGGTTTGAACCAAGCCTTACTCATGCATTAATGCATCACACTATAAGACGTAATAAGACACACTCTGGCACAGACGTCCAGTCTACATGCTGGAAAACACACTATTATGTCATGGCCGTGACTCAGCTTCAAAAATTCGTTTCAAACCGGAAGTACGAATTTGTTTGAAATAATACAAAAACAACCAATTTACATTTTTTAGTGAAATATAGGTGTCCTAATAGTGTTTTTAGCAGTGTGGGACACATATACGACTGTCAACAGCTCAAAAAATGTGTTTTGGTGTTTCGTGACCCTTTAAGCTCCAACCCTAATCATGCACACCTGAACAAGCTAATCAAAGTCTTACTAGTTATACTTGAAACACCCAGGCAGGTGTGTAGATTCAAGTTGGAGCTAAACCCCGCAGGGCCACCGGCCCTCCAGGACCAAGATTGGTGACCCCTGATTTAAAATCTAAACCACCCTCTAAAAAGCTAACATTATTTTCAGTTTTTGGTTGAACTATCCCTTTAACAACATAACCTATGGGTGTTGATTTGGTTGTGTTCCAGCGATGATCGATGGTGCTTCTGAACCCTCTCCAGCTCAGGGTACAGATGAAGCTCCACACTACGCAGAGGCAGACATCCCTGGAGCTCACAGCTATCGCGTCACTGTGGTCAACATGCCTTTATCTCCTGGAAGAGACGGAGCTCTGGAGGAGTTTCCCAGGGACAGACTGACCTTCAAAGAGAAGCTCGGAGAAGGACAGTTTGGAGAGGTCCTGTACGCAAACACTGTCGTCAGCAATAAGTGATCATTTTCTTTGTTTCTGTCTTTCTGTCTGCCTGTCTTTCTTTTTGTCTGTCTGTCTGTACCGCATGGTTTTGGACGTGGGGGAAACCGGAGCACACAGAGAAAACCCACGCGAATGCGGGGAGAACATGCATTGTTGACTTTTGCTTGTCTGGCCATCTCTGTTCAATAAATCCTGAGTTTAGATCCTCATCTCCCTGTTGTCTGTGTTCACTTCTGCTTTACAGACAAGCTGTTACAGATGAGCAGCCAGCCAGAAAAAGAAACAAAAATTCATGACTAATAATTTTGACTTGGACTGTTTGTTCACACACAGGTTCATCTGTGTGAAGCTGAAGGAATGCAGGAATTCATGAAGGACCATTGTGATGACATTTGCGTTGACCCAATGCTCGTAGCGGTCAAAACCCTGAGAGAGGACGCTGACAAAAATGCAAGGTAACTCACAGGAGCACGGGTCCCGCAGTCCATCTATATGCCTGTTGTTGCTGAGAAGCACTGCTTTTTGCTTTACAGATGCTGTCCAGCCATTTTAGGACAGTTTAACATTTCCTCAAGGAAATCTACATTTTCAGGAACGACTTCATGAAAGAGATCAGGATCATCTCGCGATTAAGAGACCCGAACATCATTCGCCTGTTGGCGGTGTGTGTTGAGAGCGATCCGCTGTGCATGATCACGGAGTACATGGAGAACGGAGACCTCAATCAGTTCCTGTCCCGCCACCAGCTGCAGGAAGACGGAGTTCAGGCTGACTCTACTTCCATCAGGTAAGTGAGACGTACACCTCATTTACCCTGCGGCAGTGGTTTCTGACCTTTTTTAACTTGCGACCAAACACATGTTTCTGTGGACGTTTTAAGTAAACTGACTTTGAATTGTTAATTTACTCAGACGCAGGTTAAATTGATGCATGTTATGATTATCTTTAATAGTTATAAAATTAAGTGAGTAGATCCTATAGATTTTTATAGCGATTCACTTTTTCTATATTTTCGCATATTACAGCCTTATTCCAAAATGGATTAAATTCATTTATTTCCTCAGAATTCGCAAGACCCCATAATGACAATGTGAAAAAAGATTTTTTTTAATTGTTGCAAATGTATTAAAAATAAAAAACCTTAAAAATCACATGTACAGTATTTATGGCCTTTGCTCAATACTTTGTTGATGCACCTTTGGCAGCAATTACTGCCTCAAGTCTTTTTGAACATGATGCCACAAGCTTGGCACATCTGTCTTTGGGAATTTCGCCCATTCCTCTTTGCAGTACCTCTCAAGCTCTTATCAGGTTGGATGGGAAGCGACGATGTACAGCCATTTTCAGATCTCTTCAGAGATGTTCAATAGGATTTAGGTCTGGGCTCTGGCTGGGCCACTCAAGGACATACACTGAGTTGTTGTGAAGCCACTCCATTGATATTTTGGTGGTGTGCTTTGGGTCATTGTCCTGCTGGAAGATGAACCGTTGCCCCAGTCTGATGTTAAGAGCACTCTGAAGCAGGTTTTTATTGAGGATGTCTCTGTACATTGCTGCATTCCTCTTTCCACCTATCCTGACTATAGTTTTCCAGTTCTTGCTGCTGAAAAACCTCCCCACAGCATGATGCTGCCACCACAATGCTTCACTGTAGGGATGGTATTAGCCTGATGTTGAGTGGTGACTGGTTTTTTCCAAAAGTAATGCCTGGTATTCACTCCAAAGAGTTAAATTTTTGTCTCATTAGACCAGAGAATTTTATTTCTTATTGTCTAAGAGTCCTTCAGATGACTTTTGGCAAATTGCAGGTGTGGGGTGGCTTCTGTCTGGCCACTCTACCATACAGGCCTGATTAGTGGTCTGCTGCACAGATGGTTGTCCTTCTGTAAGGTTCTCCTCTCTCCACAGAAGAACGCTGGAGGTTTGACAGAGTGATCATCGGGTTATTGATCACCTCTCTGACAAAGGCCCTTCTCCCCAAATACTCAGCTTAGATGGCCGGCCAGCTCTAGCAATAGTCCTGGTGGTTCCAAACATCTTCCACTTACGGATGATGGAGGCCACTGTGCTCATTGGAACTTTCAGAGCAGCATAAATGTTTCTGTTACCTTCCCCAGCCTTGAGCCTCGAGACAATCCTGTCTTGGAGGTCTACAGACAATTCCTTTGTCTTCATGCTTGGTTTGTGCATTGACATGCACTATCAACCCTGAGACCTTATATACACAGGTGTATGCCTTTACAAATTAGAATTTTAAGGAAATAAATGAATTTAATTCATTTTGGAATAAGGCTGTAACATAAAAAATGTGGAAAAAGTGAAGCGCTATGAATACTTTCCAGATGCACTGTGCATATTTATACCCATATGACAGTGTTGTTTGATGTGCATTTTTTTGAAATAGCATGACATTTAGGATAATTTAATGTAAATGTCATCTTTTTCTCTAGCTACGGAACGCTGATCAACATGGCCTCTCAGATTTCCTCTGGAATGAAGTATCTGTCATCCCTGAATTTCGTTCACCGTGATCTCGCCACACGCAACTGTTTAGTCGGCATGAACAACATCATCAAGATCGCAGACTTTGGCATGAGCCGAAACCTGTACCGTGGAGATTACTACCGCATACAGGGGCGTGCAGTGCTCCCCATCCGCTGGATGTCCTGGGAGAGCATCCTACTGGTGAGCCTGTCCGTGCTGCTGTTTATCTGTCAGTAGAGCTGCCCTACAGTGAAACATGCACACTCTTAAACTGATTATGTCATGGAAACACATTTCCTATATTCCTATATTGAAGTACAGTCATAAAAAGTAGAAAGGAATACTCCACTTTTTAATATTTTTTGAAAAAAGCATTTATAACTCCTATAGAGGGTGGCGCAGTGGGTAGTACAATTGCCTCACAGCAGAAAGGTCGCTGGTTCGAGCCTCGGCAAGGTCAGTTGGCATTTCTGTGTGGAGTTTGCATATTCTCTCCGTGTTGGTGTGGATTTCCTCCGGGTGCTCTGGTTTCCCCCGCAGTCCAAAGACATGCGCTGTAGGTGAATTGGGTAAGCTAAAATATGTGTGTGAATGAGTGTGTATGGGTGTTTTCCAGTGATGGGTTGCAGCTGGAAGGGCATCCGCTGCGTAAAACATGTGCTGGATAAGTTGGTGGTTCATTCTGCTTTGGGGACCCCAAATTAATAAAGGGACTAAGCCAAAAAGAAAATGAATGAATGAATGTACTCCTTTAGGGATGGACTGCTGATTTTTACCATTTTTTTATCAATTTAGCCAATCCAGGGTCTCGCGGGGCACTTTTAGCTTAGCTGAGCATAAATCATTGATTTGGATTAGACCATTAGCATCTTGCCCTTGGGGCTCTTCACCCCACAGGTGAATTGGTTGACTAAATTGGCCATAGTGTATGAGTGTGTGTGTGATTGCAAGAGTGTCTGGGGGTTTCCCAGTGCTGGGTTGCATCTGGAAGGGCATATGCTGCATAAAACATATGCTGGAACAGTTGATGGTTTATTCCACTGTGGCGACAAGCTTAATAATCTGCCAATGGGCAGATTATTGCTATTTCCTTATCCCATTGGCAGATTATTTTGCTTGTTTTCAGAATAAAACTCACTTAATTTTGACAAATCTAAAAACAAGACTATATTTTTTACTTATCAACAAAAGGCTTCATGATTTATGAATGTTTAGATATTTTTACTAAAGACAAGACAAAAACTATTTAAGAAAGCATTTTTTGCAGTGTAATAATTTGCAGTGCCTGAGTTAAGATTATTGATTACTGTTTTCTTTGCAAAGCTGCTTTGTTTTCATGGCAAAAAGCTTCCACGGTTAAACAGAATGACAGAGACAGGACAAAAACACAAATATAAAAAAATAAACAAATAGAGAATAACACGTACAAATTGACAAATGAATGTACGGGTTTATTAATATATACAGTTGAAGTCAGAATTATTAGCCCCCTTCAAATTTTTTTCTTCTTTTTAAAATATTTTCCAAATGATGTTTAACAAAGCAAAGAAATTTTCACAGTACGTCTGATAATATTTTTTCTTCTGGAAAAAGTCTTATTTGTTTTATTTCGGCTAGACTAAAAGCAGTTTTTAATTTTTTAAACACCATTTTAAGGTCAAAATTATAAGCCCCTTTAAGCTATTTTTTTTCTCAATAGTCTACAAAACAAACCATCGTTATACAATGACTTGCCTAATTACCCTAACCCTAACTGCCTAGTTAACCTAATTAACCTAGTTAAGCCTTTAAATGTCACTGTAAGCTGTATAGAAGTGTCTTGAAAAATATCTAGTCAAATATTATTTACTGTCATCATGCCAGAGATAAAATAAATCAGTTATTAGAGATGAGTTGTTAAAACTATTATGTTTAGAAATGTGTTAAAAAAACTTCATTCTGTTTAACAGTAATTGGGGAAAAAAATAAACAAGCCGTCTAATAATTCAGGCGGGCTAATAATTCTGACTTTAACTGTACATTATTGTGTTTGTATAGCTATATTATGTGCAAATTAAAATGTAAACTAAGTATGTTGTTTAATAGTGTCGTTGACAATTTACAGTGTATTAAGTGTTACATAAAGAAACGTGACTTGACTTGTTTGGCCGTCTCTCTTTTATTTGTTTTTAGGGTAAATTCACCATGGCCAGTGACGTGTGGGCATTCGGCGTGACCCTGTGGGAGATTCTAACCCTGTGCAAAGAGCAGCCGTATGCCCAGTTTACAGACGAACAGGTGATCGAAAACACCGGAGAGTTTTTCAGGGACCAAAATAAACAGGTGAGGATTTAGATTTCAACCACAATAACCCTTATCAGTAAACATTAGGAAATGATTCATCTAATGCTGAAAAAATATGTTATTTAGAAAAACATATTTCACAATTTAATGAACACTATATTTTAAGGTTGGTGTACAGTTAAAGTCAAACTTATCAGCCCTCCTGCTCATTATTCTGCTTTTAAGCATAAAAGAAACTAATTTGATAATCCCATCTTGCCTAAAAGAGAAAAAGTTTAGTCACATTAACATCTGGCTATTTTAAATGGTTATGGGCCTTTTTATATACAGTGTATAAAAATAGACTGAAACGGCTTCACACTAAAATATTAAGCAGTTTTGAGCAAAAAATGTGTTAAGTAATCACTGTGGGTAAATTTGTTATTAAATAAGATAGCTAAATAGAGTTTGGCGGTTCATTCCGCTGCGGCTACCCCTGATTAATAAAGTGAATAAGCCGAAAAGAAAATGAATGAATGAATGAATGAATGAATGAACAATGAATGTGAATGAGTTTTTTAATAGAATGCAAATAATTTAAATTAAGATGTTACATTAAAATGGACAAATAATTCTATTTAGTAAAAAAACATAAAGAATATTATAGAAAACATTATATTGAATATTACATTAAAATACAAATTGTGTAACTTGTAAATTTGGAAAATTGTTAAAATTGTTGTGAAACAAATGAAAGACATCACTGATTTTTTATTTGAATAAATGCAAATAGTAAACAGTTAAAGTCAGAATTATTAGCTGAATTATTAGCCCTTCTGGATATTGTGTGCCCCATTTTCTGTTTAACAGAAAGAAGATGGTTTTTCAACACATTTCTAAACATAATAGTTTAATAACTTATTTCTAATAACTAAGTTATTTTATCTTTGCCATAATGACTGAATAATATTTTACTAGATATTTTTCAAGATATTAGTTTTCAGCTTAACGTCATATTTAAAGGCTTAACCAGAGTAGGTTAATTAAGGTAATTAGGCAAGTCATTGTATAACAGTGGTTTGTTCTGTAGATTGTTATAACTTTTCTTGAAAGTCAAGTTTACATACAATAAGATTATTATACCTCTGAAAAAGCTCAGATGATGGTGTCAAGATTTTGGAAGTTTCTGATTGGCTAATTAACAAGATTTGAGTTAATTGGAGGCACAACTGTAGAATAGTATTTAAGGAAAACCTCAAACACACGGCTTCCTTGTGTGACAACATGGGAAAATCAACAAGCCACAATCAACAACAAAAAAGCCAAATTAAATTACAATTTGCTAAATTACACTGGGAAAAATTATTGGAGACATGTCCTGCGGTCTGATGGAACTAAGATTGAACTGTTTGGCCATAATGACCAGTGTTACATTTGGAGGACAAAGGGGAAAGCTTACAAGCCTAGGAACACCATCCCAACTGTTAAGTGTGGGGACAGCAGCATCATGTTGTGGGGCTGTTTTGCTGCAGGAGGGATTGGTCCACTTCACAGCATAGATGGCATCATGAAGAAAGACCATTATGTAGAAATACTGAAGCAACATCTCAAGACATCAGCCAGGAAAATAAAACATGGCCACAAATGGGTCTTCCAAACAGACCATGACCCTAAGCATACTGCCAAATTAGTTAAAATGTGCTTTAAGGACAAGAGAGTGAATGTTTTGGAGTGGCCATCAAAAAGCCCTGCTCTCAATCCTATAGAAAATTTGTGGGCAGAGTTAAAAAAGCTTGTGCGAGCAAGACTCAGTTACACCAATTTTGTCAGGAGGAATGGGCCAAAATTACTTCAAACTATTGTGAAAAGCTTGTGGAAGGATACCCAAAACATTTGACTGAAGTTATCCAGTTTAAAAGCAAAGTTATAAAAAATACCAAGGAAATGTGTGTAAACTTTTGACTGTCAAGAAATTAATAAAAATTTCTCAAAAAAAATTCTCTCATTATTCTGATATTCAGCAAATGTGAATCATTTAGGTACTCCTAACAGACCTACAATAGTAAACGTTTAGTATGATTTACCATCAGACATTTATTTTAAATGGTTATGTTTCTTTTTTTTAGGGTGTATGTAAACTTCTGGTTTCAACTGTATATTAATTAGGATATATATAATATAGAATAAACATATAGTTGTCAATATTATAACCTGTGAATTTTTTATGCTTTAAAATTTCATTTGGAAAATATATTTTTTAACACATTTATAAACAGAATTGTTTTAATAACTTATTTCTAATAACTGATTTCTTTTGGATACCAGTGGCTAATTGAAAAAAAAAAACTAAAGGGTTTTAATAAATAACCTTCACCTTAAAAGTGTTAAAGGAAAATCTAAAACTTACAGGAATATCCAGTGAAAATGCCCTTGCCCTGTTCATCACTTGAGAATAAAGGGCTAATAATTTTGACTTATATGCCTGATCAAAGGCATATATATATATATTTTTTTTTTTTCTTTTATGTACAACAAATATTGAATTTTTTTGGTCTATACCCAAATACCCAGCACTGCAGCACAAGATGAGTCAGAGGAAAAAATGCATGCAATAACCTGACCACAACAGAAGGTGTCAGTGCTGAGCTGTTCTGTGACCCCTCAGGTGTATCTGCTGAGGCCGGCCTGCTGCCCTGAGTCACTGTACAGCCTCATGCTCAACTGCTGGAGGAGAAACGCCAAAGAAAGACCCACCTTCTTGGAGATCCACAGCACACTGACAGAGCAACATGATTAACTGCACACTCATGTACAGAACAGCTCTTACACACACACAAACACACACATTCAGCTCTGCCAGTGCTGTACAGAAAACCCAGAGACACCCTGCTCATTCTAGTAGCAATAGCTTTCTTTTTGAGTATAGATTATACTTTTATTAGTATATACCTGTACAGTGCTCAGCATATATAAGTACACCCCTCACAAATCTTTCTTTTAAATTCATATTTTTAATAGAAAGCTCTACATATATATTTGTGCGTATACTGTACGTTAGATTAGTCAGTACTGAAACCGAATCTGGAGCTTATCTCACAAAATAACTTACGATTTGGTACAAAAACTAGTACAGCCAAATTTATATATGTTTTGGGAAAATTTAAAAAAATCAAGAGAAGCAAAAAAATGTAAAAATGTAGTTGAAATTATGCAGGTTGTATTTTTTTATTTTATTCTTTTGCAATATTTTGCTTGAATTTAATAGTATTATCTTTCTATATCTAAATAATTTTGGTGACTAAAATATTATTTTAATAATAATATCTGTTTAATAAATCTGTTTTGTTTAAATGCTCCAAAATACATTGCCTATATTCAATGAGATTGGATCAAAATATTCATTTTCAAAATGGGGTGTACTCCAGTATGCTGAGCACTGTATGTATGTATGTATGTATATATATATATATATATATATATATATATATATATATATATATATATATGAGCAATATCACATGAGTAGCAATGCGATATGGCTGTATAGCAGCACTGGTGGGAGGCGTACCCCCACCAGTGCCGATATACAGCCATATCATACTGCTATGAATGTGATATTGCATTTATACAACAGTTTGACGGCATAATCATGTATATAAAAACAAAATCAAACATGAAGGGTCTCAAAAACCCTTTTGTATGACGAAATACTTTCTTCCGTGTTGGATTCAAATCATAAGCTGACTGTTAAACAGCTGAGCAAGCATCTTTTAAACTTTAGATCTGTAGTGTCTGCTTTTTGCTGGCTGTATGTGGGCAGAGTAATACACAAAGGGTAAAGAGGCTGTAGAACTGTTTTATATATATATATATATATATATATATATATATATACTGTGTATATATGTGTGTGTGTGTGTATACATAATTAGTATATATTCCATGTACTTTTCCATTTCAATTCTATATATATATTAAATCTTATATATGTTACAAGCACTATTTTGTAATTATATGTTTGTAATTAAATGTTATTTTGTGCTTACTTTTTTACTCAGTATGCTTCCTTTTCTATATCTGTACAGTAATGCACTTTTGTTATCATTGTTTTAGTTAAATATACAAGTAAAATATAATTTACAATGAAATTACATTGTTTTAATTAAATTAATTACATATTTGCAGACTTGTTGTGAAGGAATGATTTATTCATATGTGTTGTTGTTGTGTTAGTGTGTGTGTGTGTGTGTGTGTGTGTGTGTGTGTGTGTGTGTGTGTGTGTGTGTGTGTGTGCGCGCGCGCGCGCGTGTGTGTGTGTGTTTTTGTGACATATCAGGACACAAATCTGTATAATGACATGGGTATGACACAGGTATTACAAAAAGGAGGTGAAATAGAGAGTAAAGCTGCACACAGTCTCTTGTGATGGTTGGGTTTAGAGGTAGGGTGGGGTGAGGGCAATACAATATACGGTTTGGACAGTATAAAATGAATGGAAACCTATGTAATGTACCCACTATTCACAAAAACAAACGTGTGCGTGCACATAGTAGTTTTTACATTTTGTCAGTAAAAATGCATGAAACAATAAGAAACATTGCCAGAATATGCTAAAGCTTTAAGAAGAAACAAACCGGCAAACAAATGAATAATTATTTAATAATATACATTACTGGTCAAAAGTTTGGGGTCAATAGGGTTTTTTAATGTTTTAAAATAAGCTTCTCCTGCTCACCGAAGCTGCATTTATGTCATCAAAAGTACAGAACTAATTGTAAAATTGTGAAATGTTATCGCATTATAAAATAACTGTTCAAAAGTAGTTTATCATTTACTTTAATCATTTATACCAGTGATTATATTAATGGATATTCAGCCACATGACCCTTCAGAAATCACCGTAATATTAATAATGATTATTGTTATTATTATTATTATTATTATTATTATTAATGGTATTAGTAATAAAAGCAATAATGACTGGAGTAATAATTTCATTTGAAACTGCATACAGTAAGTAATAAATATTTAATAAATAAGTATTTAACATTCTTTTACATTTAATAAAATGAAAGATATGAAGGAATTAAGTTAACTTAAACCAAAAAACGAGAATTTCATGTTGTTTCAACTCGTTTTAAATAAGTAGTTTAATCAAGCAGCAAACGTCATTTTTTGAGTGTAATAAGACATTTACTGTACTTTGAAAGCGATTTGAATCAATATGTTCATTAAAACACTCACTTTTGTCAATATAAAAGCAAGAATTACCCAAATAATGCAGTTATCACTCAAAAAATGAATTTTTTTGCTTGTTTGAACAACTTCTTTAAAATGAGCTGAAACAACACAACTCTTGAGACTGTTTTTGGACAACTCAATTGTTTTATGTGCAATCTATTTAAATTGTCAAGTTAGCTAAATCAGTTTGTGTTGGCACAACATAAATTAATTGTGTGGAACCCTGCATTTTTTGCAGGGTAGTTAAATGTTCTTTACATTTTAGCACTAAATAAGTAAATGACAAACATTCATAACTTTTATGTGGTAGAGTAATGTGAGGACAGCAGCAATAACAAAGCAGACGCGCTTTACAGATTGAGCCTTGGACTCTATTGAGAAACGTGTCAGTCAGCCTAGATACGCCGTTTTAGACTTAGAAAAACAAGCTGATTTAAGCGACACCCCATTCAAAAAGTGCAAAGACAAAGGTTCTACCTTCAGACCAGCTCTCAAGAATAACCTGCCGTTGATTTCGCGCGTGTATAATTCACAGTCATTATTTTTAAGAGGCATGTGTGGTCATACCACGAGCTGGAAAACATCCTCTGCGGTGACGCGTCGTGACGTCATTCAACGACAATGATGGCGGCCGCTGGAGCTTCAGACTCAGATATCAGGCAGAGAAAACGTCTGTCTAGAGCTCCCTCAGCCCTGTAAACCGCTGCTGTCAGCGTCCCGCAGTGCTCGGAAAAAACACCCAACGGGATAATGAGGAACATCGAGGTCGGCTGTCTGTAAACATCGCAATATTTACCCCGAATATGTGTTTCGCGGTGCAGCGAAAAACAGCCGTTAATCTGAGGGCGCTTTTCAGCTCGCGATGATTCACTGGTAATTTTCCAGCAGCGCGAGACTCTCCTCAGTCCCAAATAACACCCCGAAATATTAACAAAAATGAAATTCACCGAGCACCTGTCTGCGCACATCACCCCGGAGTGGAGGAAACAATACATTCAATATGAGGTAAGAGACGATGAAAATGAGCTTGCTTCCTTTCACCTCACTGAGCTGTTGTTATGATATCCTAATATCGCATTTAAACGAGAGACATGCTTACATCTGCATTTAATAATGGCCACATATGTTTAGTCTGTAACTGACAGCTAATGTGAATGCAAGTCAGGGATGCAGGGGAATCATACCTGATGTTTACGACCATATTAACCTATTTATTAATTAGGAATTCTCAACCAAATGGAGGACTAAACTATATCTTTATATGTATAATATTTTTATGTTGCTCTAACGACGTTATAACTTAGACACGTAACGTTATTCAAATATGTACTACTAAACGGAAATGGATATTAAATGAATATTTAAGTACAAATCTGTGAATATGGCTGATTTATCTTTAATGTTTGGATTTATGTTTTTTTCTTATGTGACTACAGTAAAAACAAGGTATTTTCCATGATTTTATCTCGCTATTATTATTAATATATGAAACAGTAATATAATATGAAAAGTGTGCACAGTGGTACATCAGGACGCCAAGAACAAGAATCTGATGGAGTTGGCAAAAAACTATTTGATTTTAATTTTTTTATGATTTTTCTAATATGACCGTACAGTAAAAACACAGTATTTTCCATGATTTTATCACGCTATTATTAAAATATGAAACAGTAATATGATATAAAAGGTGAGCACATTGGTAGGACATGTAGAACAAGAATCCGATGGAGTTGGCAAAAAACTAATTGATTTTTTCTTTTGATTTTCCTAAATATGACTACAGTAAAAAAAAAACCCAAAAAAAACTGTGTTTTCCATAATTTTAGCGCGCTATTATTAAAATATGAATGTAATAGGATATGAAAAGTGAGCACAGTGGTACATCAGGACATGTAGAACAAGAATCTGGTGGAGTTGACAAAAACTATTTGATTTAATTTTTTAATGATTTTTCTAACATGACTACAGTAAAAAAACACAGTATTTTCCATGATTTTAGCGCGCTATTATTAAAATATGAAATGGTAAATTGATATGAAAAGTGAGCACAGTGGTACATTGGGACATGAAGAACAAGAATCTGGTGAAGTTGGCAGAAAACGATTTAATGACTTTTTTTATGATTTTTCTAATAAAACCGTACAGTAAAAATACTGTATTTTCCATGATTTTAGCGCGCTATTATTAAAATATGAAACAGTAATATAAAATGAAAAGTGAGCACAGTGCTACATCAGGGCATGGAGAACAAGAATCTGGTGGAGTTGGAACAAAAAATTTGATTACATTTTTTTTATGATTTTCCTAAATATGACTACAGTAAAAACACAGTATTTTTTATGATTTTAGCGCACTATTATTAAAATATGAAACAGTAATATGATATAAAAAATGAGCACGGTGGTACATCAGGACATGAAGAACAAGAATCTGGTGAGGATGGCAGAAAACAATTTGATTTGATTTTTAAAATGATTTTCTTATATCACCGTACAGTAAAAACACTGTATTTTCCATGATTTTAGCGCACTATTATTAAAATATGAAACAGTAATATGATATGAAAAGTGAGCACAGTGGTACATCATGACATGGAGAACAAGAATCTGGTGAGGATGGCAGAAAACAATTTATATTTTAACTTAAGATTAAATAAGTGTACCAATACTACAGTGAGCAAAATGCTGCATTGTGCACTGCAAAGTCTACTGCTAAAATATAAATATGTACTTCTTCCATTAAACATTTATGCACTACTGAAGCAAAATTATGACCAAATAATAGATTTTCCGATTAATTGATTAGTGTCATTGCCTTGAAAGCCTTCACCTGTCTTGTTTTTCAGGTCCGTGATTAGCTGCA